TTCAAAAAAATAAGAGTAAACAAAATAACCATTAAAATTATCTGCAGACTGAAGTGGCTGGCAATCAAATGATTGTTACAGTGTCAAATTCATACGACAATGACAAATTGAGCATCATTTAATGGGTAGTTAACCTTATCTAAGCCTCTAAGGCAGTGATTCCCAACCTGGGGTATGTGTACCCCTAGTGGTCCGCAGATGCATTGCAAGGGGTGCATAAAAATATTATATTAATTAGGTAATAAAATGAAATAGGGCTCTGGTCTGTTTTGCTATGTAAGGACCCAATTGAAAATTTAAACAAGCCTTTATCAACCAAAATACTCATGGAAACAAAAAATACGCAAAGGAAGACACAAGTCAAAAAAGGATGGGGAACCCAGCTCCAAGCGATCATCAAAATGACCTGTTTATTAAAAAAAAGATTATAGTTAGCTTGGATCTCCTTGTGCGTGTATGCAGCCTTTATTTCTTAATGATGACCACATGTATTGGTTATTTTTTGTAAATGTAAAGTGCACATAAAGATAACAGACACTGAAGAGGAGAAGCGGCACAATGTCCTAAAAGCCAGAAAAAAACTTCCACCCAAAACATCCTGCTGTGGAATAAGGCAATTCCGTATTGGAAAAACGTCAGACATTAAGCAGCTAAAAGTGCTACATCATGAAACGGACCCATGACAACAGGAGCAGCGACATTCAACAGATATTTTATCTGATATTTCATGAGGAAATAGGTCTAATTTTAAGAAACTAACATGTCTAAAATACAAGATAAGTAACATTTGCTTGTCAATGGGATCTGGACCACTCAGGAACACAACTCATCTCAGCAATCTCTGAAATGTTAAGCACTGAGTACCTGCGCTTAGATTATTTTTTCACCATAGTTAGGAAATGGTGTAACAGAGGCACAACGCTTGTATTCCCCCATACTGTGGTTTCCACTCTTCAGGTCCTGTCAGCTGTAAACTGCCCTGCGGCTTTTAAAAGCTGCCATTTTTTAGCCATTTAATGTCAAACACCACCTGGGATATCCTGAAAAAAAGGAATTGGATTGATAGAATATTAACTAAAGAAGAGAAGGCGGAAAAATAACTGAAATTACTCTTAAACTCACCAAAACTTCAGGCTTTAAATAAAAAAAAAACAAAAAAAAACACTTTCATTGTTTTCTTTGTGGAGTTAATTCCCACTCCTCTGCAATGAAACCCCTGTGGGGTGTCAAAGGTGCAGTATAACTATTGAGAAATAAAACATCTGTTTAATCTAGCAGTTTCAAAGGCAAAACTACCTTTTGATCAAAAAATGATATTGATCTGACTGCTTTAGTTGTGTGTCCACGACTTTTCCTTTAAACTTGAACTTTAGTTGAAAATCAATGCTGTGGCAGCTTTTTGAGGTTTGTTTCAAAGAGTTTTTCATCTAAAATCGTTGCTTTTGCATAGATTAGGTCCAGCATCAGAATCCAAATTGACCTTGCAAATGTTTGTCTTTTAGACTAATTAGTGAAATATGTTTTGGTTCTGGTCAAAACATTTGCTTTATTTGCTCGTTTCAGCCTTTTTTTCAGTCTCCTCTCATCTTCTGGCGGGCTGGTTCAGGGCCCGGTCATTCACAGCGAACCTGTGGCAGACGCGTGGCCCCTGCTGAAATGAACAGGGCCAAATATTCCTTGAGCTTGTCTGTCTTCACCCCTCACTCTGTGTCTGAGAGGGCCTTGACTATCTTCACATCTCCCTATTTTCTTTAATTACACCTTGGCAAATTGCTTTTGGACCATATGGAAAGGAGATTGTTAGATCAGATAAGATGTATAAACCTCTGTCAACACCACAACATATTAGAGTTGGAAGCTTATTATCTGTACTCTACGCTTCCAATTACTGCAAAATATCCAAATACTTTAGAAAGTCTGCCGACAGGCAACAGAAAAAAAAAAATACACAAATTAGTCCTGAGCTATACTTTTATGAAAATTCCATTACTTTCCTATTTTAGTTTTTTTTTTGGCCACCAAGAAACAGGCTACTGTACTGGTCTCGAGGTTTTAGAGTTAAATTTCATGAACAAAAACAGTCTGAACTCTTGCATGAGGAAACTTCTCCCTATTAAAAACTGTTGAGCTTTATCATCTACAGTCCTGAAACAATTCATATTGTCTAACTTGTTGACATTTTGTCATGTTTATCCAAAAATCTTTCAGTGTTTTTGGTGGTAATGTATGAAAAATAACTAATCAAAACCACACAAAATTGTAAAATTATGAAACCTAATACTTGGTTTTTAAAATGTTCTGCAGAGAATAAGTTTTTATATGTAAGAAAACAAAATGTAAAGCCCTTTATTGTCCCACAACAGGGAAATTGATTCTCTGCTTTTGATCCATCCCCTTGGAGAACAGTGGGCTGCCATTGTGTGGCGCCTGGGGAGCAGTGTGGGGTTAAGGGTTTTGCTCAGGAACCCAGATTGGAGGCTGTGGGGATTGAACCAGGGTTTTCTTTCTTATTGAGAAATGTATTATTTTTGTTTCATTTTTTTTTTTTTTTAGTTTAACAAATAAAGTTTTCTGATTTGTGATTTTTACAACCACAGGTAATTTTAAATCACTTCCAATCTGAGCTTGCACCATTTTTGGGGGGTTTAAACCACATCACTTTTTGCTCAAGAAGTCAGTTAAGTATCAATGATTTCAATCAAACCACGAAAGAAACACTACCATGCATTTGTAACATTTGGAATAAGATAAAGCTTACCCCTGTAAAAAGATGCAGATTATAAACAATTTTCTGTACATGAAAAATGTTTATGTCTTATTTTGGAGCTTGACTTTGAAAATTGTACTTGGTTTGATCCCTGCAACCTCCACTCTGGGTCCCTGAGTAAGACCCTTAACCCCACACTTCTCCGCGGGCGCCGCACAATGGCAGCCTACTGCTCCCCAAGGGGATGGGTTAAATTCAGAGATAAACTTCTCCAATGTGAGGTCAATAAAGTTCAATTATTATTAGTTATTATTATTAACTCCTTGGGGCTCCAAGTGATAAGTCATTTCTCATGCCATCTGTATCCCGCTTGTCTCTTGTTTAATTTAGACTGATATTTAATGCTTTTCTTTTAATAATGGTGTTCTTCTTGCCTGTTCTCCCACATGAGCAGTAGGTATCTACAGCTACCTCAGAGTTACAACAGGGGTTCTGTGTCGATTTCTGATCTATGCTCTCCTTGCTAACTCTGCTGGATTACTCTAGGTTAGTGATGTTCCTGGAACATTTCCACAGGTTTGCAGCAGTTCCAAACACTTTCTGCTTTTTGGGATGATAGATTAAAAATGGTTTCTACGATGTTATCTGATAGCATAGCCTTGCTTTAAACTACTTAAAATCTTTATCCTTAACCTAAAATGTTGGTTATTTATGATGTTGGTTGACTAGTTTTCACTAAAAACAAAGAAAACAAATCGGTAGTAGTAAAACATTGTTTTTTCTTATTTTGTGTTGTTCTATTCTAATCCTATTATTACACACTGAAGTTTATGGTTGTAATCTGAAAAAATGAAAAAGCTAACGGAGTGTTTATAGCTTTGAAGGGCACTGTATTCTATTCAATAAATTGAATGTCAAGAATATAATGCAGCCTTATTATTTTTAGGCCCGTATAATATGATTTGATATGTGTGGAAGTGAATAAAGTCTCAGACTCTGCTTATGTCAGAGTTACCACATCTCCATTTTAAAAAGGCACCTTCCTCAGAACATAAGTCTTCCTCTCTAGGAATGCTTATGTTGTTGTTGTTTTGATGTGATTGAATCCACTGCACCCCAACAGAGAGAGGTCATTTTCTGCCTCGCTGCAGCATCAGGATGTACTGTAGACACTGAGAGACATGCGGTGAATAAAGGAGGAGAGGATAGCAGCAGGATGAAGCGGCAGAGAGGTCACTTTGAGAAATCTGGATGCAAGCACATGGCAAACAGCGTCTCTGGATCTCTGTCTCGCTCTAATCCTCTCTCTGATCCACCGACGCCTGGCCCAGTCAGACGAAGCGGGCCACAACCCGTGATCGCCGGGCCCTAATCTGAGTCCTCGGCCCGTCCACAGTCCATCTCAGACGGCACCGGCTGGCTGCCAGCGGAGGAGTGGCAGGCTTAGTCTTCTCCAGAGAGACAGCTAGAGGTTGTCTCTACATGGATGGGCACTTCGCAGCTCAGCGGGGGCAGGAGGAAGGGGCAACATAGCAGCTGCTCTGGGCATATGGGCAGAATTCATTAAGTCTGGCAAAACAAGCCAATTGTGGAGGCGGTTTATAAAAAAGAAAAAAAGAAAAAGATGCATTTGTCTGAAGGAGGAGCAGAAAAGCAGAGCTCAAAATCTTGTGACACAAAAATATTCTGAGCACAAATGTGCTGTTTGATAGCTTCATCCTGCGGCATTAGAGTTGATGAAGTTGATTCAAGGCCCACAGAATGAAAAAATCTGGATCAGTCTGTGATGGGCAGAGATTGAGCCGTTAGATGCGTACACTGGGTGTCCTTGTGAGCATCAGCGAATGTCAAGAGACCGAATCTCTGCCGCAGAAATAAACCTAATCACAATCTGTAAATGTTACAGCTGTTTCCCTAATAGACCTGGCTGGACTTTGGAGGCCTGCATCTTTATTCACACACATGAACCAAAGGCAAAGCCGAATGCTGATACATCACTGCTCTTTGAGATATACGCATTCACATACATTGAAAGTGAAATAGGCTGAAAGTTTGTTTTCTAATAAAAGCATTTATAAGTTCTTGACATTCTTCTTTTGGGTTTTTACTTTGTTTCTGAAGAAATATTTGGTCTCAGAGACTCAATGGTCAAAATATGTCTAAGTGGAATTTTACAAATATTGACATAACTATTTTTTTATATCAATGTTGCTATTTGATTTGTTTTATCCTACAGCAAACGATAAAAAGATGATAAAGAAAGAAAAATAAAAAGAGAAGAATGAAAGTGACAATCAGGATTTATTAGTATTTGCAAACAGATACTTAAATTTGAGAACAGAAGGTTTATTATTGTCTACAGCTCTTAAAAAAAAAATTTGCTCATCACTTTAAAGAGTTGCAGCTTTCTTGGTCCAGACTTCCACTCCTACCTTTTAATTCAGTAAAAGTATAATGTATGCTAATCCTCCAGGTGTCAATAGGAACTCTGCTCAATGCATTTGAGATAATAGTGAAGACGGGGCCGTTCCTATCGAAGAGCTGCGAGATAAAGTCAATGGCACAGTCAATAACAATAAGGTTGTAGGCTTTAATGAGGAATGTTAATTTGAACACAATCAGCTGGATTTGAGCTTAGCTGATTATCAATCTTTATGTTGATAATGCTGCCAGAACAAAGAGGACATATCTATCTGAAACGGCTTCTTTCAAATGATAGCCTTTAGGGTGGTCAAGTAAAAAAAAGAAAAAAAAAAACAGTAGAAAAACTTCAGAAGACCAAAAAAAAATAGCAGAGAACTTTTTTAAGACATCAAGAAATACTGTACAAGATGTTACAAAAATAAATTCTTAGAGAGAGACAATAGTTAAATAAAGTCACGGTCCCTTGTGCCCTAACTCTGGACTCTCTCCTTGATCCTGTTCCATCTTAAGCTCTGAGGACACCTCTGCAAACAGACAATCCCAGTCCCAGATCACATTCTCCTGGAGAGCAAAGTGGATAAGAAGAGAGAGGCGGTAGAAGAACATTTGGAGAGCCAAGAAAGAAAGGAGAGGGAATGAGGGGGGCAAAGTAAAGAGGAAGGGGAAAGGAGATTGTAGGGTATTAATGTACACATCATAAATCTTGATTACCTGGGAGATACGAGTGGCAACCTCCCCAGATGCTCAACAAACAGCTGGTCTGGTCTTCAGTGGGACCTCTCAGGATATATTTACTAAAATCTCACTCACCTCTTTGAACTCTTGCTCCGGTGCTAAAACCTTGGAGAGCAGCTTCAAGTCGATCTCTCCATCCTGAAAAGACATTTCAGTAAAACCCTCTTCGCCTGCACAAACTGGGGTGATACCATACTGGGAAAACCACCTTGAAGAGAAGGGTAACTGGGATAAAGATGCATAAAAATAAATGTCCTTGACTTACTAAGGTTTGGAAGGTCGAGAAATGTTTAAGATCATTGTCCAGATCACTGTAGGTCATCACTCGATTCACCTGAACCCTGAGAAAGTCACAAGAGAACATTTGTTGTTGTTTTTTAACTTCTTTATGTTAAAATGATCCTAAAGTCAAAACACATCTGAGAAGTGTCTTTGGACAAGCTTAACATTTTTGCACAATCAGGCTCCACATCTTCAAGCAGCGACAACAGTGAGCAGGAGACAGTTGCCAAGTGTTAAACGCCTCAAATTGAAACCCAGCTGCTTATCTGTGGGTTGGAATTAAGTAGGGGGGCTTTCAAAGTGTCCGGGGCCTAGCAGTGCATGCCAGTCCTACTTACTGCACATTACACGCTACATTGCCCCTGCAATGAGTTCAATGTGGATATTATCTTGCACGGAGTGCTAGCCCCAGCCTAATAACCTCCACCACTGTCACAGCCCTGCTACATAGTCGACACATGTCGTTGTGTCTCTCTCTGCCCTGTAAATCAGAGCCTGGGTGGTGAGAAGAGAAATGAATAAATCACATCAAACTATTTCCTTATTTCTGCGACGTAAAAGTTGCAATAAGGTGAACAGAGGACAGATAACTTTGAAGAGACCTGACTCTGAGTCCTGGATAGTCAGAACTCTTGTGGGAAGGGTTTCATCTGTTTTTAGTGGGGGGCCTGTTCTCTGATTCAGCTTCCGTTGAACTGTAACTTTTGTGTTTGTTATTTTACATCTTGACACACTTTGCTCAGTTAAACTCTGTAAAACCTAAATTAGCTGGATTTTTAAAAACAGATAAACCTTTAAATCACACTGTGGACGGTAACACCTTCATTTCACAAAAAAGTAGGACATTCATTGTTTTTTGACACTCAACCACAGTCAGATCAGGAAGCCGGGGTCTGGTTAAAACCCAAAATTAAAAAAGATCTAGAACTTAAAAAGTCAGAAATGAACGATCTTTTATTATTTCTGTATAATAAAATCATCAAAAGATAAATGAATGTAAAAATGTTATTTCTAAGAATTTCAGTTTCATCTTATACTAGTTTTTAATCTTTAAAAAGTTATACACACTTTTTAGGAAAAGAAATAGTAATTTATTTGAATGTCAAATACATTTAGCAACATCTGGTCACAGTCAATAGTGAGAGGAAGGAATCAGCTGTACAGACCAAAGGTCCATCAGAGGTTAACGCAGAGACGAATCAGCCACCAACTGGACAGAGGGACCCAACTGAAGGCCTGCTGTGTTAATAATAATAATTGAATTTTATTGATCTCACATTGGAAAAATTGACCTCTTAACTCAACCCATCCACTTGGAGAGCAGTGGGCTGCCATTGTGGGGCGCCGGGGAGCAGTTTGGAGTTAAGGGTCTTGCTCAGGGACCCAGAGTGGCAGTCTGTGGCAGTGGGCTTGAACTCAGGGCCTCAGGATTCCAAGCTCCATGCACTAACTACTAATCCACCACTTCCCATTCATGTCTGCGTTCATGAGTCAGACCTTAGGACAGCTTAAAGTTAGTTAGTTTTGAACAGTTGAAGTCCAAAACACCCAAATGAGCACTTCAAAAAAATGTGCAGGTCCATGAATATCAGCCTTGGTTGGGATTGTACACAATATGGAGGCTGTGCACCAAGAGAGCCAAAAAAAAATATAGCATATTTACCCAGTTCAGCAGGTTTCTGAGGAATTTACCCCCTTATGAAATACTTGTATCCAAAATTATCCTTTTTATTAGAGATGAAATAATTAAACAGATTTTAGTACCTTGGTGGAGCAGCAACCTGCATTGTTAGATCTTCCTCCTGCACTTCTTCTAAATCTGGTATTACTGGAATATCTGTTAATATAAAAAAGAAAGCATCCTGTAACAGAGATGACATAAGCTTACAGAAAATAAAATGGCAAGTCTGTGATTAACCAACAAAATGAAAATGCTGAACTAAAGACAGCATATCCCCTGTGTATGCCTGTCAGAGGTGTGTGTTTGTGAGATTCCTTTTGTCTCTCTTGCTGCCTGCATCCTTATAAGAGCTGCCCTGTCATCGCCATGCGGCCATGAATATTCAAAAGGCGAGGCGGCGGCTCATCCTGCTGTGATTACGGGTGCTGGGCAGGGGCTCCCCACAAAGCACCCCCCGCTACCTTAGCATTTGGGCCCTGTCAGCGCCGCCCACCCTGAGGACCTGCGGTGGCCGGCAGGCCGACCTCCATGTCCACTCTGCCACTCCGACTGGGGCTGAGTCCAGCCATGTGCAGAAGTATTTGCTTGTGGGCCCATCTGTGTGGGGTCGGAAGTCACAGCGCGGCCTGGCAGGGGCCACAGTGCCAGGAGCCGCCAGCCCGCTGTTTGAACAGTGGGAACCCGCTTTAATTGGCTGAACGCAACAGGACAGAGAATGGCTTCACTCCCAAGAAGGACAGGGCAAACTTTCACAGCTTTGCTCAGACTGACATGTGAAGGAATCAAAAATAAAAACAGATAAGAGATGGAAATGTTGAAATATATTTATTTGTTAGTAAAGGAAAGAAAAACTAAGTGCCAATCTCAAAAAGATGCAATAACCGGTAGCATCTGTATGCAAATCCTTGATTTGTTACATTGTTGAATCATCTTTTGTCTGTTGGCTTCTGTTAAATCCAGAATGGAACTAATATTTAACATTCTCACATATGAAACTCTAAATAACCAAGGCACATCCTATATCAAACATCTGATTGATCCTTATGTTTCTCACAGAGTACTTCCCTCTTGGTCTGCAGGTTTACTGGGGGTTCCTAGAATCACCAATAGTAGAATAGTGGAACCAGCTACCATGTTTGGTCCATGATGCAGACATCCTGTCTACTTCAGGCTCAAAACTTTCCTCACTGATACAGCTATTGTTAAGAGTGGCTTAAGTTCTTGTTTTTCATGAATTATTTCTGCTGGGAACTTTTTGTACTCTTTTCCAGGCTGATGCCTTTGTATAAATAGCTGAATGCAGGCAGTCCAACTTTTATTTATCACATAAACTAATTGAACTAAGATCTGAGGAACTGAATTGAAAGGTGTACCACATTTTTTTGGATTTTCGACCATATTGTACACGATATATGTCACATTGAAAGCTGGGAAAAGTTGAGAAATGTTTTACGATAGTCGGAACAATGTTTTAAACACAAATATTTACTCTGCTTTTCTTGCTTTTGTATCAAAAAAGAAACACTTTGACACTCATTAAAGTGAACTACATTTATAATAAAAACAGAAAAAAACTTTTAGTTGCCCACTTTCCTGCTGAGTATCTGTCTTAAATAAAAGACCATAGGTCTTACTTGTTGCATCATGATCTTTTGATAAAATCATATTCATATTTTTCAGTTTAAACATTTTCCTGCAAAACAGCCTCCTGGTTTGACTCAGATGCAGTATATGTAACATTCTAGATGACATTTTTCAGTGTATTTATTAAAGTACTAATAGTAAGGGGCTCTCTATGATCATTCTGCTTTTCATTTAGATTTTATGAATAATGTTTTGCAAGGAGAATCTTTTCAAGAGGATCTTTATGTACTTTTGGTTTTTTATTGTTCATAATGTTTTTATGAAATTTGATTGGGACTTTTAATATACTGCAGAATATTCTGGGGCATGTGCCTCAGATAATCTGCCTTAACAAGCCTATGTGCAAAACCATAAAAATGCAAACACGTCCCTTCATCCACATCTCATTTCCTGTAGGAACTTGAATCTTCAAACCTCAATCAAACAGCTTCTGGGCAGGAAGAACTCTGCAGTTCTTTATTTGTTCTACAGTGGGGTATTTACAACGTCTAAAAAAGAACATCTGGATGCACGACAGAGAAGTAACTGTTAGGAAGAAAAAGAAAGCTGGCCTCGTGAAGAGGCTTGTCAGTAATCTCCAACCACAGCTCTGTACCCTGAGGGGAAAGTCGATACAGGAGCTAAATAGAGGTGAGGAGATGGAAGTCTGAATCTGATGTGAGGAAATATCTTGGCATCTATGTCACCATTTTTTCAAAAATAAACCCTGAAAACAAACTGGGTAAAAGAAAATAAATCATTGATCCTTGGTGGAGCACAGGGAAAATATTTCATTCCCAACAGAATTCCTTGATGGATAAAGAATTCTGACAACAACTAGGTGAGAATATAACGCATCAAGTTTTACCGGAAATCAAACTGCCTCCTTCAGCTGATAACTTACTTGATCCTCTTTTTTTTTTTTTTTTTTTAATTAAACCAAATTAAAAATGCCACACTCGTTTAGCCGCTGACAAGATTCATCTGTGTTTCTGATATCCAAATAAATGCAGGCACGGGTATTTCATATTCATGAGGCCCGGTGACACTTTGTCCTCTCATTTACAAAGCACAGCGTTCAGCAGAATCCGTCCCCCCTGGACTCCCAATCAAATTTAATGGTCTTAGTGCAATGACATCAAAAAGCTTCGCCATCCGGCTCTGCAAACAGCTTCCTGGGTTGTCCATCTCTGCACACACACTTTTAGACTTCCACTGGTAATGCAACATAAATGTACACCATGGGTGTTCAGTGGGAATAATAGAGGCATATGCTGTCTATATGCAAAGTCTGCTATTGGAAAAAAAAGGAACAACTGTATTAAATTGGTTTTAAATTGAATGCATCACCAGAGGTCAAGCAGCCTGTGTTTTCTACCGACTCCATCAGGAGGATAACCACACCTTACTGCGCTCAGCTGGACGTACAGCGAGGTGGCTTTTGTCTGCCTTATTAGTCCGCTGCATGCAGTCTCCTCGCTGAAGCCTGTAAATATCAAAATGGGGATAATAGACGTACCACAGCTAATGCATGCAAGTCAGCGACTTTAGACGAGAGGACGTCTCCCCACATCATACGGACTCCGGTAACCTACACAAGGGGTCCGGTCAAATGATTACCTAGGCAGAGTTCCCTTTGAAAGGCTCATAGAGCAATATTCAACACATCAGCCTGTGAGAGCGACGCATGAAACAGGAGTGTGTTGGTGATACTGGAGCTATTTTAAGTGACCAGCAGGAAGCGATGGGGGCAGCTGATAGGGAGCTGGGGGCAGTTAACTGGCCAAGCCTTCTCTCTGTGGGTCTCTCTCTGCGCTTGTAGCCAGTGGACATAAGGGATAAGGGTGTGGGACATAATCAAGATTGCAGGGGCTATCTCAGTAACCCTAAGCACTGTAATTTCCAATGCCCCTGCCTCCGGCTCTGTATTAAGAGCTCTCCCTCCACAGAGTAATAATCTTTCTTGGGGCTTTAACTGAAAAAGAAACAAACCTTTGTATTCAACATACAACCATTTTAACCTATGTGTTGACAACATTTATCTAGGTTCATATATAAAACATAATCAGAGGCAGTATATCAGAAAGCACTTTCATTCTCAGGGCTCAGCAGCAAACTACAGAAGTTTTAGTAATAAATTATCAAATAAATTATTCTTTAGGCATCATGTTTGATTCAAGTTTACAAACGACTGAACAAATGTTATGAAAAATGCCTTCGTTATATAAAGAAATGAGCCAGATTTCAACTAGAGACACTTGAAATGTTAAACAAAGAATGGGTTACTCTATGTATGAGTTTGTAATCGCCTTAGTCCAACATTTTCTCCGATGTACTTTCTCCATACGGGGCCTCGGGACCCTTCTGGTATACAGAAAAGGGACTTATTTTAGTTGCTAAGATCAGAACTGACATAAAAAAATTTGTTTTATTGTTTTGTATCATTTATTTTGCATTATTTGTTTAATAAGAAAGTCATTTTAAACTTTGATGTTTAAAATATGCTTAAATTTAGATAAAAACCTTTTCTCTTTGGATACCTATGTTACCATTTAGGTGACTAAGTTCCTTGCCTGTATGAGTAATTTCTATGTTTCTCTTTGATTATTTCTAATGTGTCTGTTTGCCTGTTTTTTAACATCTGTACAGCATTATTTTTTAAGCATTTGATTGATTAATCTATGTTATAAAATAAAAAAGTGTTTAACTGTTAGTCTGAGATTTATTGCAAACGCTGATTTTGTGAAAAAAAACTTGAAACCTTGAGAAAAATTAGAGCAATTAAAATATTGAATATTTGGATTTAAAATAGTTGCTATTCTGCCATGTGAGGAAAGCTTCCACAAAGACACATCTGTAGATTTATCAGTTTATGAAGTGTGCAGTGCATGCTAACCTGTTTTCACTGAGACTATTTGACCTTATAAAGCTGCTTGGCACAGCAAAAACAGAATGATCTTCTGCATCCCTTCTTTGAAAAGTCGCCCCCCTCAGTTTTAACTTGTTTGTAGAGAGCATAAAGGTCACAGGCAAAAAGTGATACCAAAATATTTGTATTCAGCTGCATCGGTCTGATACTGTGTATGGATGTGTGTGTTTAGGGGTGTGACCAAGTATTTGCTAAGTTGTGGGGACGGTGTTAGGCTGATTGCAAAGGAGTATGCTACTTTGTGGGGACTTAGATGTACTTGTGGGACCAGTGGACTGGTTCCCATGAGAAAAGGTTTTCTTCTTGATTGGAGATAAAGTTTATAACCAAGGTGTGAATTGCGTTTAGTTTGCGGTTAGGTATGTGTTTTTAATGGGGAGAGTTATGGTAAGGGTGTGGGTTAGACCAGAAAAAAGAAAGAAAATCAATGCAAAGTCACTTTAAGGATAGTGGGACATAACATTTGCAGGTGGATATACTTGTGTGTGTGTGTGTGTGTGTGTGTGTGTGTGTGTGTGTGTGTGTGTGTGTGTGTGTGTGTGTGTGTGTGTGTGTGTGTGTGTTTTCAAAACCAACTGTGGTTGAATATTCTAGGTCCAGATCTTGGCGTAACTTTTTTCATCACAATTTTTCTTATCTGTTTCAATTGTAATAAACAAACAAGTTGATGAAATGTGAATATTTGAAATCTATTTTCAAACTGTTTTTAGAACAAGTAATTCATAATACAATGGAGAAAAAAATCAAATATCACCAAATGATCTTCCCTTGATTAGCTAAATCTTCTGAATTTTTCTCACTATTCCCCTGTTCTAATGGAAAAGGCAAAGGGAGAGTATCATTGCTTGAAAAAGGACTGATCCTCATAGATTACACAGTTTGAATATTGGAGCTTTTAGAGGATTATTTTGCAAAAACAAGACCTTAAAGAGTTCATTTAGGAAAAAAGTATTATAAAGCAGCATTACTCTTAAAAAAAAAATGATTTTCTATGGGGAACATTTGAGTGAATATCACTTCATTAGAAGACAACTCAAGAATTGTTTTTGTATTTCACATGCATTTGTTTCGCTCTTTACTGTTGGTATCAAATCCCTTATTTATTCAGAGTTAAGATAAGATTACAGACAAAAAAAAAAACACTATACATGCACAAACTCAGCTTAAGGTACTTTTCTTGCAGGATATTTATTTTCAGCTTTTTAAAAAAAAAATTGTCACTACACTGCCACAAGCACAGAGCAACGAAGTGAACTCTCCGCATTTAACCCATAGCATTGGGGAGCAGTGGGCTGCAATGTGTGGCGCCATTGCGGAGCAGTATGGGGTTAAGGGTGTTGCTCAGGGACCCAGAGTGGTAGTCTGAGGGAGTCGGGCTTGAACTCAGAACCTCAGGATTCATAGCTCTACTGTATGCCCTAACACCACTCCCCCGTGTATATCGCTTAGAACAAACTTTTGCAAACACTGATAACCTGGAAGCTAAAGGAGGGATAGTTTTATAATTATGAAATAGCATCTAAACTTGAATCCATCTATACATAAACTATTTGTTTCAATATGGAAGTATTTGGTAATCCACTTGTGTGCTTCCTTTTTGAAACTTTAGCTGTAAAGAGGCACAGAAATTAAAATAAATGAAATTCATCTAGTGAAAAAAAATTATTTTATTTTGCTTATGAATATGATTAAAAATATAGTTCAAATGTATGGCTTGGTAACTAAAATGTTTTTAATAACACATAAAGGTAATCTTTTAGCAGTTGCCAGAGCTGGTCCAAGGTAGTGTGAGGCCCCGAGCAGAGATTTATTTGGAGCCCCCCTTCTGATTTGAGCCCCCTACCAAAAAACAGAACTGACCTCTCTTTAAACTAGTCTCCACATGATGTTTTGGTCTTGTTTGTTGTTCTTTAACATTTAATACAATTTTTTACACCTAAAGAGTGACTCAACAATGATGAAATTAGACTGATTACGTTTTTGTTGACATCAGTCACTTCACAGGACATTGAATGGATATCACTTAAATATAGAAGCTCAGCGGTTTAGTTTTTTCTTTCTAATTTTCACAGTAACGAAAGTAATTGTCGGTTCACAGTTGTTCATATGGGGGGGCAGACAAAGGGATACTCTGTGGTCAAAAACAGGACTTCATAGTACCAGATCAAGCTGTAGCCAGGAAGAAATATGGCAGGAACATCAGTGTGAAGTGATGATCAGTTTCCTTGCTTATCTGCTCTACTTTTAGAGGATAAATGGAGATGCAGTGGAGAGCTGCTCTTTGCCCGTGAGGAGACACAAAGAGTGTGGACGGCAAGGGTGCTCTTACCTCCTTCATCATCTGATCCCTGGGGAGTTTGTGGTCGTAGGCGATGACTGTGGAAACAGGAAGTAAGGGGAGAATTAATTATTTAATGCTTTGAAAGCCAAGCCTAATGGTGAGAACATCATAGGAAGTACGGGAGCTGGTTCTTAGATGTTGCTTTTATGATTTGTCTGTTTTTGTTATTCCACTATTGTAGGTAGAGAAGATCAGTTATTCATGTCTCTGTTGTTCAACACAACAAAAAGAAAACCCGTCTGAAATCTCTGTCCATGTAAGTATTACTGGGACCAGTGGAATTAAAGGACAGCATAAGAGTTCTTCAGGGTAACACAGTCAGTTTTACATTAACTTCAGTTTCACTGCAGACATCGAGGCTCCGAGCAGCAGCTCAGATGATGAGCACAGTCGTTTATTCTAAGGTACAATGATTATGAAGGCCCAGCATGAAACTAAAACTACAGGAAGACGGCAATAAAATGTTACAGCAAATCAGTCAAGCTGCTTTTATATTCACTTAAAAAGATTGTTTTTGGAAAACAAGGACCATTCACAATGTGCACAAGAATTTACACAAAAGTGTATAAAATATGTGTTTTTTTACACCGATTCACTTTAATCATGAACTCCAAGAAGTTAACTTACTCCTCCAGTTCCTCGGTAGCTCGTCTTCTTGAAGATCTGTAAATGAAAAGAAAACACAGTTTTTACACAAAATAAAAATAAAAGACGAACTGGTTTTGGCCTCCAGGAAATAACAATACGCTGAAGGGTCTTCTAAAGCACATAGAAAGAACTGGAATAAACCTGTTCATAGCATATGTGTCTATCTAAAGGCCTGCAGGCCTGTTCTTTTAAAGTGAACAAAGTAACTAAAACAGCTTTATAAATGGGAGTAAAGTGTTAGATAAAAGTGTTAAATCATGCGTTTAATAAATGGGAGTAGAGTTATAATAAAAGAGCAGTGTGCTTTCTGGCTTTCATTTATGTAGCTGCATCCGTTCCTTTGGTACATTTGATATTCCTGAAGTGGCCTGATACAGAAATGGGATTAACAGCCTTGATCTATCTGAGGTAATTGTTTCTCAGTAGATAGTTTGTTGCCTTCCAACTGGAAAAATATGACTTTTATTGCAGGTTCCTGCATGTGTTAATACATCCTGGGTAAAAAAAGATCTGCTTTGTCTGAATGTGTAAGTCAGACATCAGTGTGAAGGACTTTGAGTTGACAGTGAAAAGGAAAATTCATAAATCTGGTCTATTTGTTGCTGGTTCTGTATAGGACTGATTTTAGTCAATATTTCTGGATTTAAACTGGACCTGCTTGTCTTGAGCAGTGCCTTTAACAACACTTGCTCTAAATTGGTGCCATGTCAAAATATTAAACTAACTCAGTATGTTTTCTCTCTGTACCTATAGTATGGACCAATGACCGTGTATTTCTAAACTTGATCCAATTATAAAACTCTTCTTTAATATAAAATATCATGATAGAGAGCTTCTGCAAGTTGCAGCCAATTTTAAACTTTCTAATTTTAAATCCAGGTTTGAATTACAAAAAACAACCCATCTGAGGGATAATCACAGAGATGGATTACAAATGAAAAAAATAAACAAAATATATTTATTGTAAATTTCCCAAAAAAGGTAAGAAAAAACACAATTTTAGGAGCTGGAATTTTTCGAGGGATCGCACAAGCACAACTAATAAAAGAAATCAGAGCCCTTTACAATATAAGCTAAATTAAATCAATACTTTGGGGAAAGAAACACGGAATAAAGAATGATCTATGTACAAATTATAAATACATACTAATTTAATGTTTAGAGGTAAATTAATAATTCATGTTTAGTGGGAAAAATCAGTAGCATCATGTGTTCTCATTAAACTCTTAAACAACTTCTCGTTGTTCTCTTCATCCAACATGGGAGTTGGTTTAGACCTCGTCTGACTGGCTGTGTGTTTCCTGGACGGGGCCGCCTTTTACAGCTGCTTTTTTTTTTTATCTCTGCTTCTGTCTCCTTGAACCCCAGTCGGCCTCGGCAGATGGCTTCTCACACTGAGTCTGGTTCTGCTGGAGGTTTCTTCCTGTTAAAAGGTAGTTTTTTCTCTCCACTGTCGCTACAAGCATTCTCAGTGTGAGGGATTGCATTTGAGTCATTGAGTCGATGCAATCAACTGGTTTCCTTAGATAGAAAACTTTAAATCAATTTGACTGCATGATCTGGTGAACTGTAAAGTGCCTTGAGATGACGTGTTATGAATTGGCCCTATAGAAATAAACTGAATTAAATTGAAACTGAATTAAACAGCACATACACTTTACATCTAAATAAGATAGACTAGATTAGGTTTTATCTCAGCATCAACAAAATGCAATAATACAGGCAACAGAACTTATAGTTCTATGCCATCAGGTTTGTTAAGTAAAGACTCTTTAACCCCCTGCAGCCACTTGATACCCACAGCCTAAGGAACCAAGGTTAAGATCAAGAATGGGAAATAAAAAAATTTGACTTTCAAATGTCTGAAATTTACAAATTCAAATTAAGCACTTTCTACACCTTTGAAGACCCTAGGAACCTTGTTATGATTAATCAAATCAGATCAATGAAAGTCTTATTTTTCACTATTTATAACGTTACACTCTCTCAAAAAACAACAATTACTGCGTAGCACTAAGCCTTCTTATTTTCAATTTCAAAAAAGAGGAAAAAGGCTCTTTTTCATTTTGCTTGTTCTTCTGGTTGAGAGCTGCCCCCTACTGGTTATCTGATTTACCCTTCATCTTTTCTAGAGCATCAAGCAATCGAGACTTTAGAGGAAAAAATAAATAAAAAGAATATAAGATGCAGTATTAAAATAAACAATCAGCATTATTTGGAACGACAGTAACTAGAAAAATGGGAAGTAGTTTTTATTGAGGAACTTGTGTTTAAGTTGTGTTTTGATTTGTGACCTTAGACCAACTTATATTACTTTCCCAGGAGGATTTTCAACAGATTTGTCTTGTTTATAATAAACAAAAATGACTTCATTACAAATGTAACTTTTTATTTAACTTTCTATTTTAGAACCCTGATGAGCCCTGCAGAAGTATTTTAATCCCCGTCTTTTCCATCTTTCGGATGCTGCTCCGCAGCACAGCAACAACAATAGATGAGCAAGAGTCCAACCAGGCAGAGCGGAGATGAGCTGATTGAACCTACCTGGCTGCCCTTGGACTGTGTCCTGTCTGGACGGGGGGTGTTGGGGGGTGGGTGGCGACACTTAAGACACATTACAGGCCGCTTGATTAAGACTCATGTAAGGCAAAGCGATAGACATGGTAAAACTGTCTGGAAAAAGTTGTTAGGGATAAAATATATTGTGACAACCTGGTTTCAAAGGTTCATCAATAAACTGACAGATCATTTAGTGTCAATTAGAAGTGATAGATCGACAAATCCCGGGATTTCTGCGCTGGGATTAGTGGGAGGAGGACAGTGGTGATTGAGCATGAGGGGTGACATTGAAAGGAAAAGTCCTTGTCGGTTCCAGGGGGGACCATTACTTACTTTGTTTCAGAAAGGATCAATGCACATGCAAGCCCCTTTTACACCTCCTGTATTTGAATCACTTTGAGAGCAGGAATCAAGAGGGGTTACGCAAAAGTGGAGTTGCATACGCTGACCTTCGGTGTGTGAAAGGGGAGATCTATCGAGTTGACTTTTTCCTGCTTGCGCTAATGATGCAGTAAACTATGCAAATAAACAGAAGTGACTGCCCCCCTGTTCACTCCAGCCTGCGTTCTTTAATCTCCACTGAGACAAAAGGAAAGGAGCTCAGCAGAAGCAGAAAGGACAAACTGTTCACTCGTGGACAGAAGCACCAGTTGCCGATCAAACCTCCCAGCAAACATCTACCATCTGCTTCAAATATTTTTAGGAATCCTCTCTGTTGTGCTGTCTTTGTATAGAGCAGGATACGGCGGTAAGGGGTGATGAAGTGGCTTGAACTCCTGTGATGAAGTGGCTAGCTGACTAACAGTGCCCTCCTGTGGCTGATGCATTAACCATGTCAATTACCGCCTTGCTCACAGATGAAGACGAATGGAGAATCGCCTGCTCAGACAGGCTCCCTCTAACCTTGTTGATTCACAGCCTGAGAGCCAAATATGCACTGATAAATAAGCTCATTCAGCAGCATGAGAGTTCATTAATAACACATAACACAAGCCTGCAGGCCCCGCTTCAGTGTTGCCACTGCAGAGTGTTATAAAGAGAAACATACTTGGCAGAGCCAGATCCAGAGTTTTCCTGTGCCCAGCCACCCTGCCGCCGGGCCGGTTTAGGAGGAGGGCCCTGCAGTAAGAAAAAAACTGTTAATAGCAAACAGATTCATTGGATTAATTTTTTTTATCAGAGACAAATATAGTACAAAGTAAAAATTACTTTATAACTGTAGGGGGTTTTGAGTCATAGGGATACTTTGCACTAGTAATCTGTATTACCAGTGCTGAAGAGGAAACATTTTAGTACAAATCTGAAGACTTAAAAGAGAAAAGTCTTTAAACAACTTTAACTTTTCCACACTTTCACTCATTGTTACCAAAAAATTGAAAAAGCGGAACATGCTTTAACATTAGCCATCTTCAGATTAAATGTTTCATTTAATTCTAGTTTAAATCCAGCTATTCAGTGAAGGCCATAGAAGTTTGTTAAGAGAACACTGGGGAACAAACGGCTTCATGAAGTGCAAGGTACACAGCAGATAGATCGGGAAAAGATGTGGGGAAGTTTAAAGCAGGGTTAGGTCCTAAATAATGTCACACAGAGCACTGTTCAGTCCATAATCTGAGAATCGAAAGAGCACTGAAAAACATTCAAACAGACCGCCTTAACTAACAGGTCTGGCAAAGGGAGCTCTGGATTTGCTGGCAGGACGATAGAGCAGTAGCAAAAGGGAAGCCATTAGAAGTAGAGTTTGCAATAAAGGATGAAAGGAATATACAAAAAATGAGGTCAAAGTTGCTCTGAAGATTATTTTTTATGCAAAACACTTTGTGTTTCTGAAAACAAACACCCCAAATCATGCTGAGCACACCATCCCCATTGTGTGTCTGCTCAATTAGGCTCAAAATAGGGGGCAGCTAAGCAAATATTCTTAAGGATGGAGCAAAGTCTTCATCTACCCGGAAAATCTTTATGAGCATTAAGTTGACAGCTAATGCTCACAAAATCTCCAATCGATCTGACTGTATTGCAAAGAATGAAGATTTGAAGCTTATTCTGGTTCTAAACTATTGACTTAGGCGAGCTGAAAAACAAATGTATGCCACACTTTTCAGATTTTGTCTCTGTAAAAATAAATCCACCTAACATCTAGACACCAATAATTTTGCTTCTATATTATTCTAAACATAAAATCCTAATCATGTGTGATTAGAAAGTGGCAACATGCAATAACATTTATCAAACATGAACACTTCCCTGAGGTGCCGTATAAAGCCTGCAAACAGCCAATCGATTTCTGTGCTCAAAGGCAAATGTAAAGAAGTTAAGGAAATATTCTCCACAGCTTGTTTAACCTTTTTAATCGATGTTGCCTTCTTGTAACGCCTCCACAAAACACTACTCCACGGATTACCGTATGCCACTATATGCAGGAAAGAATGAGCTCTATAAATTTAATTATTGTTTAATTATTGTGTTAGAAGATAAAAGCCAGAGGATAAGACCAATGTCCATCCGAATTATAGAGTCAGACCAGGCAAAAAGCACATCTCTCCATTTGTTTGAGTAATAAACTTAGGATGTGTTGCGATCATAATGTTTAGACCCTAAAAAGAAGACATGAATGGATGAATTCCTTTAAAAAACAGCAGAACATTTCTCATTGCTATATTGGGACTGCAGAGGACAAAGTCTTATTAATGAATTTCCTTCATTTATGATGAAAGAGGAAATAATCATTTATGGCTGGGTTCTTTAGCAAAGCCATTTATAAATCTGAATGTCACCATTAAGCAGGGCATAGGGAGGGGGGGACCCACTCTGTTCTACTGTATATTACCATTAAACCAGGGAGCCGAGGCTAAACGAGCTCCCTTAACTTTGTGTAATTAGTAACTGTCTCTTAAAAAGAGCAGAAAGGATAAAAATCACAACTGGGGCTTTCTAGCAAAGAGTGCAGAATTTGCTCCAAGGGATGAAAAATCGCTTTGTTGTTTAATATTTGATGTGTCTGACTATGAATGGTTTTTATTGGGACCACACAGTTTTTCCTTACAAGAGATAAAAGTCTTCTGACATTTTAATAAGGAAAAAGGGAGAGGCTATAAGTGTCATGAGAAACAAAACCGATGTGTGCTTCTAATACCTAATGACCAAATATGAACCTCAGAGCTGTAGTGAAGTCCCCAAGTCTGTTGGGACAATTAGCTCAGCCTTTGGGATTTCTAATTCAGGATTCTCTGGAGGTCTTTGGGTCAGAGAACTTGTGCACAAACTTTCAGAGCACAAAAAAAGCAGCAGATTGCTTGAAGGGATGTCAGGAATGTGAGCAATCAGTGGGGTATTTAAGGCAGTAGAAGACAGGGTTGATAAACAAACACTGCAAAGAAAAACCACATTTCTACCGCACTCCGGAAAAATGTATTGCATGTGCACAGCAGGTCATGAAGGGCACGAGAAAATTTGTTCATACAGTTAGGAAGTTGTCCTAATTAGGGAGGATTAGCCTAAAGCAAAAGGATTGCCTTGTGTTTTTCTTTTTAACTTTGGGAATGTTGGCTCGTTTACAGTTTGCTGGAGCAAGAGATGTCTCTCATTCCAACGATGCCAGGGATAGGCAGTTTTTTTTTATTATTATTATCTTTTTGCAGCCAAATTTGATTAACTAAGAAAGTATAATTTGGTTTGAACAATACAAAGGAAAACTTTGTTTTTTTTTTTACATTTAGCCACTTTACAACTTCAAATTACAGTTTGGTTAAATGAAATTTTGTGACAGGACAAGAAAAAAGTAGTGAATTAAATTTATGATATACGATTTAAAACATTTCAGAAGAAAATGGTTGTGTGCCTTAGAATTCACCCCCATACTCTAACACCCATAGATAAACTCTAAACTGCTTCTTGTAAATCAACAATTAAAGTGAAGCCAGAGGAAACAAGTGATTGATACAACAATTAAACGTTTTTCTACTAAATTTAACTAAACTTTCTGGCCGATATCCCCATATGTGGGAGAAAATGAACATTAAAGATCACCTGGAAACAGCCCTGCCATGGTGGTCGCAGTAAATCACAGCAAAGTTATCTGAAGGCAACATTCTTTGGGGATTATCATATTATTATTAGTATCATTGAGATCCTTTTATTTAGATGGGAGAGGAAAGCGAGCTACAGTTTATGGGAAGATAAATGGAACTAAATCCACCAAACATCTAGAAAAATACAAACTATAGGCTTCAAAAGACTTTGGATAAGGTTTTAGATTCAGCTTCTAGCAGAATCTCAACCTGGGCTCAAGAACTTTAATGAGAAGAATTGGCAAAAACATTAGTAGATGTCAGAAGATGGTAGAAAAAGACTCCAGGGGGCTTGGAACTGTAACTCCATCAAAAGGTGGTTTTATTTAGTTTTTACTGTAGAGGCTAAATATAAATACATTCTACTCATTTTAAATTTTAGTGTTTTTTTCTTCCTCACTTTTGCAAGTAATATGCCACCTTACAGTAGAAAGATAAAATCTCAATAAAACATATCTAGGTTTTGTGATGTGACAAACTTGTAAAAGATTGCAGACATAAAAATAGATGAACACAGAAGCATAAAAGGAAACAATAAAAAGGAGCTTTTTAGATTTTCTGAAATTCTGACATACATACTTTATGCTTTAGAGGTTTTTGAAGTAGCAGATAGTAATCAAAATATCTTACTAACTTACTGCATAAAAACTCCTTTAATTAAATGACAGCGTGTTGTTTATCGGAGAGTCAAAAACAATGATGCAGAAAACTGATGACTAACAAGGTAAAAAAGTAAAGAAGATTAATAGAAAATAGCGGCTCTGGAGAATTGCAGTAAAGCCATGCAAACTAACACCACCCACCTCATCATCATCATCATCCTAAAAAATTATGCATGTGAAAAAAAAACAAAATGTAATTTTATGACTTGTGATGTAAAGAGAAAATAAAATGTTCAGGTAGATGCATAAAAATGACTCACTTCTCCTAACGCAGCAGAGGTGGATGGCTTCCCTGCAGGCCGGGAATCTTCAAACGAGTGATCAGCTGATAATCGAGCTCTCCGGCCAGATTTAACAATCTAGAAAATGAACATTATTTCTCATCAAAATAAAGTGGGGTCTATTATATTTCAAAGCAAGTAAAAAAAAACATATTTTTCATATTTTTTTGCTAGAACTACATAAAGATAACAGTTTTACATAAAACGGTGTGTCTGATTGTATAGTATCTTTAATCTGAAAGTTAATGATCATTCTTAATTATTTTAAACAATTTATTTATGATCTAAAAGAAACCAGAGCTGATCATGGAACAATGACCAGTAAAATAATAGATCTGTAAAAAACTAAAGTAAAAGATTTGCTTACAACCATGTGAAAAAACTGTGTGAACATGCAAAAAGTTTAACAATTTAAACAGAAAAATATTCATCATTAAGACCTCTTTACTCATCCAAAAAGTTCTTAAGATTTAGGGCTTTTAATTAAGTCAATCTTGGTGACCAGGATTTAAAATGTACAGCAGCTTTAGAGGATATGACCAAAAACTAGTGTGCTGATCATCTGCATTAAAAAGTGACAAGCACAAATTCTCCAAAATTATCCCAAGTTGCAATGAAACAGATGAGATGATATAAACCAGAGGGCTGTTTGACAAAACCAAGAAAGGAGATCAAGCTGGGATTTTCCGGAGGTCTTGGCCTAATAAAGCCTCCACTCAGTATCACAAAAAAGCAATGCATAAGTTACTATAGAGATTTATTCTGTGCAGCTAAGCCTGCTCCCAAACAGGCTAGCATCCAGGCTAATACTGATGCCTTATCTGTTCAGTCAGCAGTTTCATCAATCAGAAATCAATACGTTTTATCAGTGATTCCGTTTTCTTGTTTGTATTTTGCTACTTTTCATCTTTTTTTTTTCAAGCCTACTTTAAAATACCCTTTAAACATATTTTTATTTAATCAAGTACTGTTATCATTTTTATATTGTTATCATAGCTGATACTATTATCAGTTTTTGAGGACTGCTGTTGTTTTAAATTTTGCAAAAAAGACCTTTTGCATGTGCTGAGGAGATTAGAGAGAAGTTAAAAAAAGAACAAAAGATGTTGTCAATAAAGTCAGGCCAGAAATGGTAGCTCTAAACCCCTGTAGCTTCCTTTATAAAGAGGGATTCTACAGCATTGCAGGTAACGTGAAACAAGCTACACAGACTTGTTTTTTAACACAGGATTCCCCAATGCTGTTGGTGTGATCGACTGCAAGCACAATAAGATAAAACGCCCCTATTCTGCACACAGAGGTGTTTTGTTAACGCAAAATCCATTCATAGTATCAAAAATGAGGAACGAATAAGCTTTGAGTTAGTCCTCCAATTAACTACATGGATTTATTATGTGCATTAAATTACTTTCATCTTTCTAAAGCATTAAAATGATCTGTGATGATGACAGCATCTGTAGCAACGTGGAGGTAAAGTTGCCAGACTCAGTCCATCATTTCAAATTTCTAAATTCTGCTTTTCTGAAATAGCCCTCTGATCCTCTAAAAATAACTGAAATGACCATAGCATTAAATAACTGATTATATCCTTCATTTGTCCTATTATAGCAGTTATACCTTTTACAGTTGCTTTTTGTATCTCCTTGAACCCCAGTTGGCCTCAGCAGATGGCCGCTCACACTGAGCCTGGTTTTGCTGGAGGTTTCTTCCTGTTAAAAGGGAGTTTTTCCTCTCCACTGTCGCTACAAGCATGCTGAGTGTGAGGGATTGCATTCGAGTCAATGGGTCGATGCAATCAACTGATTGTCCTTAGACAGAAAACTTCGAATCAATTTGAATGTATGATCCGGTGAACTGTTAAATGCCTTGAGTTGACATGTGCTGTGAATTGGCGCTATATTAATAAACTGAATTGAATCATATTTTTATGCCTAAATCCCATATTTTTCTCAGCTCTATATTCAACAGTTCCCCATACATTTTTTGTTCACTCAATATGAAACTATCGGGAATGTTGTTTGGAAAACATAACTATATATTCTATTAACAAATTAACTCTATACCGTGCCTGACTTTTCAGTTTTGCATGAAAGATGTCAATATCCGTTATATTTTCATAAACATGCACCGATTGCTTAATCATTTGTGATTTAAGTCTTTAATGAATCAGTACATATTGCACGTCATTTTGAAACCTTTTGATATATATCAGATGTTTTGTTGTTGTTTTTTCTATATAGGAGCTCTATTGAGTCGCTTATGAAGGCCAGGGGCTTATAAAGGGGGTCAGAGGTGGCCATGGCCACCCTTAGCCAAACATTGGCCACCCCTGTGGCCACCCTTACTATTTTTTTCCCTCTAATTCAGATGGTGGGAGCAGGAATACTCTCAGGTGGAATATTCAAAACATTTTAATTTTACATATGGTTAATGTGTTGTGGTTAACCACAATTAACACTGTGGTTAATTTTGCAGATCAATAGACTAATGTTGAAGATGATAAATACAGAATTCCTGCTCTTTTCAGAACTTTTGTTGTTTGGTAAGGAAAAAAAATTATGTGTCTTTGCAAATAATCTAGGAGTCTTCAGTGAAATACTAATAAATAACTATTTTAATAAAAACTGATTAAATAATCAATTTATGTAGATTTTAGTACTTGATGATGAATGATTATTGATAAAAGTTGGTAAGTAATGACAATGAAAAAGATGTCCAACCCAGAACTCAAACCTAAAAGAATTTTATCCACTATACCTTTTATCTAGAAAGCACGGATGTTTAAATATATGCGTCTATTTGTTAGGAAAGGCTGTTGGAAAGTATAGTTTGTCTTTATTTAAAAAATATGGAGGTTTTGCTCGTTTATTTTCCTGTTGGAGCAGTGTAGATTTATCGTGAGGCTCTGGTGCCTACTTTCTACTTTCCGCCCCCTTCAGTGTACATTGGTTATTGCCTGGCCACCCTTATAAAAATGTTCTGGCTACGCCTCTGATGAAGGCGACATTTGATAAAAACGCATATGAAGCTGAACCGAAAAGCACCGAACAGTCAGTCACACTGAATATATGAAAAACAAGAAAGGATAAGAAGAAACAACAAGAATAGCTAAACACAGAGGTAACGGCAATGAGACAGCGTGAAAACAGTCCATCTGCAGTAGTTGGAAGCTGACATGTCTGCACTGGCTAACACGCTAGCTAAATAGCTAACCCTAGCCCGTCACTGAAACCTTAAAAATGACACGAAGTCACCTCAGAGAACTAAATAACTAGTACTGCTATTGTTTTACTTAAAGCACATTTAAAGATTAAACCGGTAAGCTCACATTCTTGTTCGCTGCACCATCCTCGAGCTGAAAGTTATCGTCCATCTCTCTCCTCATCGCTGCAGCTCTTAGCTATGGCTTCTTCCGCAAGCATAGCGTCACGTAGCAACGGTCACCATCGTAACGCCTGCCCCCCTTGTTTAACCAAGTCGCTCCCCCATATTTACCACTACTAGGCAACTATTACTACTGCCAGTACAACTACTAATACTTCTACTACTAATAATAATTAGTAACATTATTATTATCATTATACGGAAGAGGATTAGGGCCACTGAAAAAAAAATAAAAAAGGTTAAGTGATTTTAAATTTTATTTCAGTGCAATATGAGAAAAAGTCAGAATTCCGAGATTGAAGTCAGAATTCTGAGATTAAAGTCAGAATTATGAGAAAAAAAAGTCGGAATTCTGAGAAAAAAGTCAGAATTCTGAGAAACAAAATCACAATTCTAAGATTAAAGTCAGAATTCTAAGATTAAAGTCAGAATTCTGAGAAAAAAGTCAGATTAGAGTCAGAATTCTGAGAATAAAAAATACAATTTTGAGATTAAAGTCAGAATGTCAGAATGTGACCCCATTTTAAGCATGCTATTTATGAGAATGTATTAAAATAGTATCTTAAATAAGACTTTCGGCACTAATGCCAAACAGTGCTACTCTATTTCTTTTTCTACATGCTGTTCCCCAGTTTGGCCACCAGATGTCAGTGTCGCGCATGTTATTTTTCCCCCTCACAGTCAGCAATCTTTAGCACCATACAGATGATCAGCGCACCTTGTTTTTTTTTTTTTACACCTTATCTAAAACGCGCTTAAATTTGCATTTGCTTTACAATGATTTCAATGTAATGTCAAATATATTCTGCTTGTAGAGTATCAAAAACAATCATTAATCCAGTATCAGTATGCTAAGGCATCATCTTCTTTCTGCACAAATAAAATCCCTACCTCCCAAAACTTTAAAGACCTAAATAAATAAATATAGATCCAAATATAGATTTTTTTTTTTTATGCATGTCATTGTAGGGCATAGCTCATTGTCCGAACATTTGTTGAAGTTGTTGTCCCTCCCACTGAAACGTCACCGTCTATGACTATAAAGACTGAGTGAGAGAGGAAAGCGCCTTCAGTGACTTAGAGTTTTGGGCCACAAGGAGATAAGAGGCGCAACAGTAGATGAAAGGCTCCAGAGGAATGGAGAAACGGAACCAGGGCGCAGAGACCGGCTGCATCTAAAACATAAAGGGAGTGTGGGTGGGATACCTGAATGGGACCAGGGGGATGAATGGTGTGACAGACAGTTTTTGTAAAGATTTGGGCTTATATTCCAAAATGGCATGGATGTGCGCCCACGCAAATGCGCACTTTGCAAAGATGACATAGCACTTAAGCAAAATGGGATTCCTCCAGGAACATAATTCACTAACGACCTGGATGAAAACAGAAAAGGGATTCTATTGAAAACGGGAGTTTATTTTTATTTTTTTGGTGGGGTGTATTTTGTTATTCTTTTTACTTGACAAGCTGAACTCAAGATTAAAACATGAATCTGGGCAAAGCACTTCTGTTTTTCCTCCTCTCAAATTGTGTGACAATGAGTTTCTCGTTATCCACTTGCACCACCGTGGACATCGACCACATCAAGAAAAAGAGAGTGGAAGCGGTCCGGGGACAGATTCTCAGCAAACTCCGGATGACGAGTCCGCCTCAGACGACAGGTCCGAGTCAGGTACCATTCCACGTCCTGGCCCTCTATAACAGCACCAAGGAGCTGATAGAGGAGCTGGGGAGGGACCGGCAGCAGAGCTGCGGCCAGGATAACACAGAGACTGAGTACTACGCCAAAGAGATTTACAAGTTCAACATGATCAATGGTCCACAGGAAAACAGTGAGTTGACATTTTAAACTGATCAAAGATATAGTCACTAAACAGATTTATTTTATAACTTCAATAGAATGTGTTTTCCATTCATCGGGAGGACAAATTAAGTAGCCTAGATATAATCAATGATCCCGTTACAAGCGTAAACTTTTGTGCATTTGATGTAAAAAGAGACACAAAAGACAAAAAAGGGGGAAAAATCAGAGTAGTGTGTTATTATAAAGTGGAAACAGAATTATACTTTGCAAACCTTTATTAATAAGAAAAGTGTGACTTGTGTTGTATTCTGAAAGTTTGATAAGTACTGATTTATGATGCTTTCAGATGAGTTTTTGTGTCAAGGCACCTGAATCCAATCGTCAGGATATTAGTAGGGCTCTGAGTGCAAAAGAAGAGGATTCAGTCCTTTGATTTAGTTGTGTTGGACTTAGGACACTTTAAAAAGTTGCCGTCCTTCAGGGACCACATCTTGACACCCATGGATTAGGCGACATAAACACATGAACGTGCTTTACTCTTCTGCAGCCCTCAACAGCTTTCCTCTCAAAACTCCCATTTCTTCAGCTCCATAGATCAGCTCTGACCAGCTTCTCTGTCCTATCCAAAGCACAGCATCACGCTGCCACCACTATGTTTCACCCTGTTCTGCTCACAGTGAGAAGCAGCATTGGTTTCCTACCATAAATATATGTTAGTTTGGGACACCCTGTAACAAATACTTTTCCTATCAAAGGATTCTTCAATCTTTGCTTTGAATCCTGTTACTGTTTCCTAAATCACATCTGAAGCCGTTACAGAACAGCTGTTATAAATGTTTACTAATATTCGAATATCTGAAGGTAAATTTTATGCAAGGGTATTATATTAAAGAGAGGTGGTTACTAGGTTACAATAGAGATTTATATTGCCTTCTAGGAACACCTTGTGTATCTTATCATTAGCTCTAACCAGCGTCCTCTTGAAAAGGTATCCCCACAGCATGATGCTGCTTCTACCATGCTTCACAAGGGAATTCGATGTGCAGTGTTTAATTTCCCCCTACCGTAGTCTTTTTACAACAGGGCAAAAGGTTTTTGTACAACTGGAATTGTATGAAATTCTAGCAAAGCAACTTGTGTCTGTAATGACAATAAGTTAATTATTTTTTAACCTTTTTTTAGATTGTTGAACATTGTTGTTTTTTTCACATAAAAACAACAAGTTGTGGTTATTTTACTTTGTGGTATCCGTTCATCGCTTTGACAACTTTCGTGAAAATTTTAGGATGGAAAAAAAAAAGATAATTAGCGCATGTTTCATACATTGAAGTAAAGCTGGTCCCTTATGGGATCTGTGCAGTGCTATGCACAGACGCTCCAGCGATTAGGAGAGCGTCGTGCAAAGGGGAGAGAAAAAGTAAACAGTCTAATAGGAATGAGCACCATTCCACGTATACCTCACACCAAAGCCCTGGGAACTCCAGCTTATGTCTGACACATTCCTAAGTGAGGAAATTTCTCAGGCTGTGAAATATTCTATTTATTGCCAACTCTAATACCTCATTTCCATTTTTCTGGCCCCCATATTTTTCATCTACTGCAACTCACCTCTGTTTCCCCCTACTCTATTTCTTTTGAGTACCTCTGTGTTATGATCTAATTCCCTTGTTCACCCATATTGGTATTTCCTGTATAAACTATGGCTCATTGATTGTTCCATAAATCAGTAGCAGAAGCTCAGTGAGAGGCCGACTCCCAAGAGAGGGCCGGTTGGATTTCTGCCCATTGACGGTCAGAGGTCGCAGAGCATAGGGGCGTTGTACCCTTCCTAAATCAACAGGTGTTTATGCTGCGCCGTGACACTGAGCAGAGCCTCAGCACTAGTTCTGAATCAAATCCATTTCATGGGTCCCGCAAAGTGCTTCTGACAATCAAAATACACAGCTCGGGGTTTATCCGTTGGTCAGAGGTAGCCGGAGCTCCCAAAACAAACAGAGGTCTAAGGAGTGGGATCTGAAATGGCCACGTGCCCAGGACACATCATGCTGTACTGCGCCATATACTCTTGGTGATAATAGAAGATGTGAACCTGAATTACAGCTGGCGACGCTTTTACCCACCTCATAGTCCAGGGGAGATATTACTCAGATCATCCAGGGATGCCAAAAACACATGAATTAAAACTTTTCTTTCACCTTCCTATTATGTAATTTCAGGGGGAGCTCGTCACGCAGCACAACATAATGTCTGTCACCTTGATAATTTTACAGTGGAGTTCATTTTCTAGCTGAATATAATGACTTTTACATGCAGCCCGTTTGGATGGTGGGAGTGTTTGGGAACGTGGTCAAGTTGGACTTTTTTTTTTTAAACAAATTCAAGCACAGTTAAGAAGTTAAACAGAAACTTTTCTCCCAGACTTTAATGCACCACTTGCTCCAGACACCACTACCAATGGAAATCAGTGCATTCTGCCATCTATGAGTACACAGCAGAAGTAGAATTCAGACATGGCAGCAGTTCAGAGCTGCTGTCAGAAGACCAGAGTGCACAGCTGACGGAAAGGGGACAGCCAAGCTAAAGCACGACCTGCGGCAGGCAGGATACTGACTCGACCACGCTTCGCAAATTGGATCGTGCAGCTTCAGTGAAATTCTAAGCCCTTCACTGACTCAGTATCAGGGCAGGTAAAAAAAATATGTGGCCTAGCGCTGAGGACAGCAGGGGTATCTGATGTATGGGATAGTAAAAAGATGATGTCATCTGAATAAACAGAGACAGAGGTCTTTGGCCTGTTCCCAGGGAAACAGCATCTTTCCAGCTAACTCCCACAGGTTCACAATTTTGCTTCCTCATGTTTAATCAAGCGGGAAGAAAAAGTTGCTTTTCCTCCTAGCCCAGGTCCGTCACATTATCTCATCTGCCGCAGTCGGTATCTGATGAATGGAGGGGAGAAATAAGAACCTCTTCATAATGAAAAGTTTGATTACCTTATATTAAAACCTTAATTTATTTGTAAGACAAAATCAAACCTTTCCAGGAGAACCTAATGCAAACGGATTCAGATTCCAGATGCTGGAATTTACATGGATAAAAGAGCTCAAGTTCAATTTTCATACATTTCCAAAGAAATTGCTGCTATGCTTTATGAGATCGAGGCGCAACAGCAGCTGGCCAGCACCTGCACACTTATGATTACTATTCCCTTTGTTTACCTCCCTCAAGCTCTGGAGAGACTGACATCACAGAGTATCCTCCGGGCAAAAGGGCAAGTAGAGGTGATTCCTGGTAGCGTATATGAGGATAAGTCTGCTTCTTGAGCATATTAGCATTTATTAAGGATGTAGGCTACTTCCTTTTTTTTACAAATCTGCTCAAGCTTAGACTGGATTAAGTCCAGCAGTGAACAATTTTTTTATTCTGCAAGAGGGTTTGGATTTGGACTTATACTGGGCTAATTTAGAGCATGCATACACTTTGATCTAAAGTGTTGGTTTTGTTGTATGTTTCGTGTTCCTCTGGCTGAAAGTGAACCTCTGTTGCATATTCAAGGATTTTTATAAGTATTGTTTTTCTTGCTTTTTTTTCAAAAGATTGCGCTTAATTTTCGCTTAATTCAACTATCTATCAACTCTGACCAGCACTGCTGTTCATGCAAAGGTATCGTCACATCATAATGCAGCCACCGCCATGCTTCGCCATGAGTAGGATGCATTTAAAGAGATGGGCAACTTTTATGGCCATATCTTCTGAAAGTCGACCTCTGCCTCAGGCACAGGTTTTTGCATTTCACCAACGGTTTTCTTCAAACCATCTTTCGAAATCCTGCTAAAGAAAACCAATCTCATGATGCTGCCTCAATCTCAGGCTAATGTGCAGGGTTAGTTTCCTCATTAAAAAGTCTGTTTTGCATAGTTGCATCAAATACGGTATGTCACAGAATCACAATAACACAAACTTACCTTTTTAGTTGAGACTAAAATTTGGAAAATCAACAAAATTTTCTGAATCACATATATTGTCACTAAATCTCATTGGAAAAACATTGTACTTTGCTTTCTATTCATTACGTGCCAAACTTTAGGAAAAAAAGGATGAATTAAATAAATATCTGCGAATAAAACAATTATCCAGACTTTTAATGGCACTTAGGTCGGGGGATCCGAAACGCTCGAAACTCTGTAATTAGTTGTAGGAGTTTAAAAAGAATAGCATATTAGTCTTAAATCATTTACCACAGCGAGTGCTGGGTGTTAAAGGTGATGTTCAGTTTTACTTTTCTGTTGCACAGTTTGCAGGCCAGTGTGCAGGTTCATTTTTATTCAACTGGACTGTTTGTTTTCAAGAATCAATCATAAAAAGTTAATCAAATCATAAAGTAAATGCAATTATATCAAACTTTGATCTACAGGCAACCTTTCATTTATACATTAGAGATAATAGTAGATTGAACATGTTTACTTTAGGTAACATCCTTTCTGGTTTTTATTTTTGACATAAAAGGGAACCCAGAAGCCTTTTGATAAAAATCTGTGGTGCCTTAAATGATGTCGAGGCTCACCATCCAGGAACTTCAACCCATATTAAAGAAAAAAGAGTGGAGAGATTAATGAATCTATCACACATTAATTACACAAACAATTCATCCTCTCCCCAATTAGTTCTCAGACCCCTTGCTGTAGTAAGGCTGTTTTTGAAATCCTAAAAGCATTGCAATGGGAAAAATTAGGTCATCCAAAAGGAAACCAAAGACTTGATTAGAATTTCAAATCTCCCCTCAAAGTGGGGCTTTCCACCTTCTGTGGGGGAGGTAGGAGGGAGGAACGGGGACATGAGTGAGGGGAGCAAAAAGCTATTGAGGATTCCTCCTTATAGATTGTCTGGAAAACATTGGACAGATATCTGGCTTGGGATTGACACGGAAAAGGTCGTCTATAAATAGGGAAAGTTGAGAAAAAAAAACCAGTATGGAAACACCACATAATGACTGGGAGGACACTGAAATAGGATTATGGGTCAAATGAAGTACAGACACTTGGAGATGTGCAAGTTCCTTATGCATGACACAGAAACAGCTTCTGAGTTTCCATTCGGCCCGAAACTGCTCGAGGTGCAAATCAGCTAAAGGTGCATTGCGTCTTTTTACCACCAGTATGATCCGAGGCTTGGTAATAAAGCTTAGGCCTGAGGTAATAAATTAGCCAAAGCTTGGCTGTAAATGACTGTTTCCACTCGGCTAGTAAAAAGTTTGCTATGTGCTTGTTTTTCTCAACACTGCATGTGCTTTGCCTGTTAAAATAATAAACTCATGCGTGTATAAAAAGAGGACTTCAGTGTAACAGGAAGCTTTTCAGATAGCAGCCGCTCTCCACGCTCCTTCTGTCTTCCTCGATAAGTATGCCTTCAGTGGTCTCCATCCTCAGTGGTTCTGGTATTGCTCTGCTCAGATACTTGCAGATGCATGTTTCAGGCTCAATCTTTAGGTTCATGGAGGTTTAAGCTTCTGTTTGAAGCTTCAAAGCACCTGTTAGGCTGAAGTGCTGTAGGAGGAGGAGCAAGATGCTGTCCCTCTGTAGCCTGCTCCACAGATGGACCACATGGGCCATTTGGTTCTCATTTTATGACTTTTAACTTGTTGCTAACTCCTACAGCATAAAGCAGAAACAGATGGTTTGTGATAATAGTTAAAAGTATATGACCATTTTCTGCAAACTGTGAGGAAAATGCTTTAAGATGTTAGGATCAAATATGAATAACAGCCTGCTTTAAAGGGCCCATATAATCTTTTTCCACAACTTTTCCATTTGATTTGAGTAGGGGATTGCAGCTCACAATAGTAAGACATATTTCCATGACAAGAATCAAGAAATATGTAAAAAAAAAAAAAAAAAAAAAAGCATGAAAGAAAATAAGTGAGCACAAAACAGCTGAGAAGGCAGCCAAAAGTTGCAGAAGAACGATGATGTCAGTTTGGAAAGCACAACTTAGACATCGTTGGATAACACAATATCCAACAAAGGAGAGAGGTATTGATAGTAAAGTCATAAGCTAGAATTTCAGTTCATAAAATATGTAAAGATGATTTATCCAACAAGAATAGAAAAGGCATGATGGTGTGTAATCTTGGAGACCTAACAAACTACCACCCTAAAGGTATTGAAGAGGTTCTGAAATGGCCCTCATCTCCCTCTAATACACTGCAATGGCAAAACAGCTGTTTGTGACAAAACTGTGACAAGCAGCTATTCTACAAAAAGATAGCTGTCAAAACATTACTAAGAGTCTGTTGTCAAGTTAGGTTAAAACTGTAAGTCCATATACAGCTAGTTTCCTCACATTTTTGGCCCCAAAATGTAATAAGCTCAGAATGTAGGACTGAGAATTCAGTTAAAATAGACAATGGAATAGTTGAAAATAGTTTATTGGAAAAGGAAAGGATAGATTCTGCAGTGGCAGCGGCTCTGTAAAGGCTTGGGCGTCTGAAGCAGGAACGTCTATTGGAGACACTGGTTAGGGACTGTGATAATCCGATGGTGGGCTTATGAACGTGCAAGTCACTAACCTGGTATGACAGTTCAGTCCGTGCCCAGAGAACGAGGAGGATTACAGCCGGTCGACTGAACAAACGCAGCAGATGCTGCCAAAGAGTTGCAGACAAGGTTGCCTTGAAGGAGAAGTCAAAGGGCAGGTCTGGGTTCAGTCCACAGAAGAATCCAACAGGAGTCCCAACACAGGCAGGCAAACAGATCAGACAGAGGCAAGAAGGCTAAAGGGTCCAAATACAGAAAAAAAATCAGGATCAGACAATTAGAACGTTAAAGTAATGCTACAGAACTCTCAACACCAAAGGTTCAAAATAATCTTTCACAGATGGCTGGGCACAGGCAGCTTAAATAGGAAACCAGAACAGGTGAATCTTATGAGTGGTGAGGAACAGGGCAGAGCTAGACAGGTGAATTAAATGAGCAATCAAGCCATCAGTGCCAAAATAATACACATAATGTCCCTTTAGACAAATGCTAACCATTTGGCAGATGGAAGAGAAGTTGAAGTACTAATTTAGAGTAGGATTAAGAGCTGTGATCAAACATTCTCTCCTTCATTTGGCTCAGAGACAGAAAAAAAAAACATTTGCAACAGGTAACTGTTTTGGCTAGGCATACAGGAGGATGATATAAAGTCACCGGTTACTGATTTAATTCGATTTTTGCCCATTAACAGACATTTTGTCCAGTAAAATGAAACTTAAAAGGGAAAGAAAATAGATTTTAACTCTGGTCTGCCTGTTAACCCCCTGCACAGAGCTATCTGATGTAAGCACGGCGTCAACATGAAACGTGTTGAGTCCTCAACCATCGATTTTTGGTTGTTCCTCTCCAAAAGTCTATGAATTGATATGTTTAAAAATCCTGTAGGAAAATGTTTTTGTTAGAGAAACCTTGTTTGTGATGAAGGAGAAACTCTTCCTCCTAATATGTTTACTTCATGTAGCTCACTTTACAGCAGCAGAGATTTTTACATTTCTAATAAGAAGTCACACTTTTGTTTATTGAATTCATGTTAAAACTGATTTTTTATTTCAAACGTTAGAACATTTAGAACAATAGTCAGTGTAACTCAAGCGGATATGTATGAAACTCACTTCTTATTAAGAAAGAAAACTTGTGGCTGCTTTTTTTTGGTCAGAAGTACAGTGGAATACATTGCATACTTTCAATGTTTTTTTTTTTAAGTTTTATATGTCCAAAATGTGTTTTTGCTTTATTCAAAGAGCTGATGAATCTCCTTTTTACCTGCAGATGACCTTCCCTTCTGCCCTAAAAGTATGACTACCAAGCTTTTCCGCTTCAACGTATCAAGGATGGAGGAGAATGCCACCAACCTGTTCCGGGCCGAGTTTCGAGCCTTTCGGATCCCCAACCTAAGTGCCACGAAAAATGAGCAGAGGATTGACCTCTATCAGGTGAGTAAACTAAACTCTTGGTTCCTCCGTTTGCAGAGCACAGGTGGGGGTGGGATGGCGGGGGTGTTTGTTCTGTTCCCTTTCTGGAGACGCTTGTAGGTCAGAGGGAAGGATGAAAACATTTCTATTTGGAGATTCTGACTCCCTTTTTCCTCTGCACTTGCTGATCATTATTCCATGTGCTTATGTTCCAATGGATTCTACATCAGGACACATTTTAAAAAAGCTTCTGCAACCACATTAAAATTCTGTGCTTTCTTCTATTAAAGCTTTTAATCTCAAAGCAGTTATCCATACATGCTAGATCAAGGTTTTTTTTTTTATATCTGCCTCTCTTTGAAGTCTGTTTGAAACATCCATATGGTTGATGTCTGTGCGTGGGGTGGCATGATATATATATTTTTTTCTGGCTCCTTATTAATCTGCTGTAAGAGAGTCATAGTAATGATTAGGTTCCAACACTTCCTGTCAGGAAGACGAGCGTCTCTGGACTGCATTCCGTCTCTGAGCCAAAGCTAAGGCCAGTGCTCGAATTTAGACTGTCAGGCCCTCAAGATTATTTCCAGGGGGCTGGGAGGAGATAGAGGCTGGGTCACCCAACGGTGGAAGTAAATGGAGCCATTCAACCGCCCCCACACTTTTCAGCCAAGATCTGATTGGCAGAAGGCTAATGCTGGCAGTACAGTCGACCTCAGTCCCACAGGAAGGCAGATTAGATGCTGACAATGTTCAGAAACCTGGTTATCCACAGCCCATGCTGTGGGGCCAAAGGTCCATGCCCACCACTTCAACACAAAAAGGCACCCTTTTTTCCAGAAAAGTGCTGGTACAGATATGAATCCTTTTATTGTTGGTGTTGGTCTGTAGTAACACCCTGAGAGATGTTTGTTTTGGAACTGTGTGACACTGGTGACAAGCAGGATGGCCGGGTTCTTATTAGCACGATGTTAACTTGCAGGCATTAACTTGCAAAATTGGGATATCAAAACAGGGAATCATTTTTTCCATGAAGAGCAGACGATTTGGCCTGAGGCATCCTGGAGAGTCTGGCTTAGGGAGACCGCCTTCATTCTTCATGCATGTATGTGTGTGCAAAAACATAGTTTATGAAGACGGGTCACGTTTTCTTCTCTCACTGCAGATCCTCCAAAGAGGCAAACAGCGCTACATCGGAGGCAAGAACGTCCTGACCAAGGGGACCGCTGAGTGGGTCTCCTTTGATGTTACAGAGACAGTGAGGGAGTGGCTGATGTACCGACGTGAGTTTGAAACCTCAGATCTTCCTCTCTTCACACCTTTCTTATACACACCCTGTCAGAAAGATAACACCTTTATCAAAAGATTAGACATAAAAGCCTCAGGATACATGTCATCTACTAAGGGCTTTCTCTTCTTGATGTTCCCTCAGACACCAATTTTGGCCTGGAGATAAGCGTGCACTGTCCTTGCAACTCTTTCAGGCGTAATGGTGAAATCGAAAACTTGAACGAAGTGCTGGAAGTCAAATTCAAAGGTGAGATGTCTTTTTTGGATACATCAGTGATGTGACAGAGCAACAAGCTTTAGAGCTTGTAATGGCACTGTAGCTTTCAGACGTTTTTGACTTTGTGAAACTCATCATACTGCATGATTACACACAGACTGACATAATGCAGTTATTTAGATTATTGTAGCTCACAGATAACAAGACCTGACATTCAGTTGCCTGAAAAATGTGGACGGTACATAAGTCCACTTAAAATTAGTGTTGGTAATAGAACTATTTACACATTCAATCCAGAAAGTATTCAAATTACTACACTTTTTCTCCCACAATTATTTATGCTGCAGCCTTATTCCAAATGATACTATATTAAAACACAATACTCCACAAAGACAATGTAAAAAAGGTTTCTGTAGGTTTTTTGCTATTATACCACATATGTAAACAAACAAAAGCAGTTAACTGAGCAAAGATGCACCCTGTTTCCACCTATCACCCTGATTTTACAAATTAAATTAAATTAATTGAAGTCCACCTGATGTCCAGGCTCACCATCCAGCAAATTCAGCTAATTTGACATGATAAGGAAATACACACACTTGTCTGTTTAAGGTCTCCCAGCTGATAAAGCATATCAGAGCGCAATCACCAAGAGTGAAGTCATAGGAACTACCTATAGATCACTAAGACAAGATTGTGTAGAAACACAAATCATGGGTTGGAGTTCAGAAAGGTCTCATCTTCTTTGAGCATGGTGGTCTCCATCATTGGTAAACTGAAATCATTTGGAATCACACAGACTCTCATTTGAACTGGCCGGCTGCGAAACAAAGCAAACCTGGTAGAAGGACATTAGTGGAGACAGTGACCAAGAACCTCATGGTCCCTCTGTCTTCTTTCCTCTCTAGAGATGAGGACCTTCCACAACAACAAACATCTCTGCAGCAATCCAGCAATTAGTCTTGTACGATAGCGTAGCCAGATAATAGAAACTCCAACAAAAACCACATGCATGCAAAAAAGTACATTAAGGATTCTCAGATCAACAGAAAAATAAATTTCCTGATCTGAGACAAAGCTTTAACTCTCAGGTTGTGAATGTTAGGTGTCATGTTCTAAGTAAACCAGGCTGCTCTTCGCCAGGCCAATATTCTCCTAACAACAAGGGACCAAAACATCTCGCCTGGTCAGCCAGGTGAACAATGACCCAACGATTCCCCTTTTCAGAGCCATGGGCCAGTATCAGGTATTGCAGGCTAGCGAAAACCTAAACGACTACCCATTACTAAGGGGTGGACCTGTTTCATTCGGTTCAATTTGCATGTTTTCTAAGCCATAACAAGGCTTTGTTGGACTACTCTATAAAGCTTGGAACTCCACACTAATCCAGACATTTTGAAATGAGAAAGATTCCTGGATGGGAAGAGAAATGTCTTCAAATTTGGATAACAAAGTCTAGTGGTTTTTTTTTTTGAATGAGATCTTTAAACTTTAAAAACATAAGTAGGACTAAGTTTGGTTTGAAATCCTAGATCTAAATAATAACTTCAGAGATATAGGTAACAGTTGCAACCAGCTGCTGTTCTTGCTTTACTTTTGTACTGTTTTTTCTAATGAACCAAAAGCCAACCTAATTACCACCAGCTGTAACTGTAACACAGCTGAAGAGCTGTACCAGACTGACATATTACAACTTCAACATTTAAATCTAAATCTAAATAAATGCAGGTTTCGATCCACTGTTTAAAAATGGGTAGCATGGTTCAGCTCTAAACATGGCTGACCGCCTAAAATGGCAAGGGGAACATTTTTGCAAGAAGCAGGCAAAAGGTCAATTGAAAAGTAGCAGAAAAGATTCATATCTCAGGTTGGCGAATATGTCTTCATTTCCACCAATTGCACTAAATACATTTCATAATGATGTTCAAAGACATTCTTTGTGCAGTTTAGCTAAGCATGTGCTATTCTGCCAAGAATGGGCATGCTGGAATTGTATGTTTTTCAAAACATTCTGAAAACCATGCATCATTTACTCTTTTTCTATTACACACCACTTTGTATTGATCTGTTGCACGAATTTTTATGAATTGCATTGAGTTCTGGTAGTTGAAAAAAATGCAAACAAGTTTAAAGGATATGAATATTTTTGAAAAGAAATAAAAGGAAAGTAAAAATAATTGTTACTTGATCAATTCTGTGACAATCGGTCACAAATGGGGTTAGTTTGGTAAAACAATCATATCTGTGCTCAACTGTTAAGGCTGCTTTGTTTCTGGGATTCTGTAATAATCTAGATAGATCAAGGTAGGACCGAAAACAGCGCAAAACAAACATTTTAGGCAGGTCACTTATTCCGTGAAGAATGAGTTTCTGTACTGCTATTTTTTTACCTCAGCATAAAAACGCAGTAGAGAAGAAAAGGTTTCCAGCATGCAACCTTGTATTTCTAAGGAAAGAAAAAGAGAAAAGCATCTCAGTTTCAATCTAGATCCATGTGCACTGTGGACAGACGCTTTCGTTTTTTGAGTTTCCAGGATTTCCTGTGTTGTCCTGTCTCCTTGGCCAGACTGTGGTCGCACTCTGTGTCTGGCCAGGGTTTGTCTCTGCTTTTGATCTCTCAAAGCCAGAAAGGTGCCCTCGCCAATTTTTATTCCCGGTCAGGAGCCAGATAATCATTCGGTTTGTTTGAATTACATTTAATTTGTCTAATATTAAAGATAAGCATCTGTGCTCTATTGAAAAACGTGGTTTATTCTGATTAGAGCTATTTAGGCTGCTTTTTCTGAGGATTTTTATTTGCAGATTTCATGTGCAGTTCATTTCAAAAGCCTAATGTAGCTCAGTTTTCAGTAACTAGAAGTTGAGACATTTTTAGTTTGCATATGAGCTGAACTCATGTTTTTTATTAAAAGTGGTAGGGGATTTACATTACAAAAACACTCAGCTGGTTTAAAAAAGTGACTTGTAGTCTATTCATCAGGATTCTCTTCATCCAGGCTTCGTTTCTTAAAGGAGGACAGACACAGAAAGCATGGGAATACAGATGATCTGGTATCATGCTTAGGCAGGGGCCCCTAGGCCCTTGGTCCTGGGAACACTCCTGACTAGCCTGACCACAAGGAATGCTCTGCGACGGGGCGCAGACGTTTGGCCCCAAATTAAAGAGGGCCGTGCAAATCTACCAGCATTTCTCCTGAGATATCAGCTGTTTTAGCTATCATGGTAGATGGGACGAGCAGACGCAGGGCCAGTGAGGAAATGGAGGGAAGAAAGGAAGAAAGAAGTAAGGAGCAGCATTGAATTAGGAAAGCAGGGTTTTTCTATGCTGTCTAGAAAAGATGGATAGATTTTAGGCATTTCCAACAGGTTAGCAGGTGTGGAAATGCATTTCTACAGTATTTCTAGACTTCATTCCCTTTCATCTTAAAGTGTGCTTAAGTCTTTTGTCTTTGGTTTGTGTCCCTCCTTATTTTCTTCATACCATGATTCTCCTTTCTCATGATTCCTTGAGACTTTTTGTTTCCTTGCTTCCTTGTCTTCTTTTCCCCCCAATTTTCCTACATTCTGTCCTATTTTCCTTCTATTTTTCCTATCCTCACTATTTTTTATCCTTTCGTTCTTGCTTCCTTCACTCTTGGGTCCTTCTTTCTTTCATTCCTTCTTCCTTTTATTGTTCCCTATGTTTCTCCCCACTGTTTCTCATTTCCTGACTGTCTTGCTGTCCTTTCCTTGTGTTTTTCCCTCATCACCTCCATCCGTCCTTGTGTCTTCCCGAGTTTCTTCACATCTCTTTCTGTACAGCTTCATATTTAAAGCCTTCCACTGTAGGAAATAAATGAACAGGTCACATTAGTGCTGTTTCTTAAGAACTTAATGGACGAAGGAATCTGGAAAGTTGTGTCTGGAAAAGTCTTGAAGTTTTACATGAAAAATGTGAAGTAACTCTGGGAAATGATTAAATAGCAAGCCAGGAATGAATGAAGCTGTTCCTGCAGATTGTTATTCTCCCGAACCAAAGCTATCTTTATAAATCTCGTAACTTTCTCCGGCAGGCGTGGAAGGAGACGATGACGATCCGAGCCGTGCGAAAAAGGAGCAGCTGTACCCTCACCTCATCCTCATGATGATTCCTCCCCACAGGCTGGATGTCCACTCCTCCTCCCGCAGGCGCAAGCGGGCACTCGACACCAATTACTGCTTCAAGTAAGGCTCATTTCTTCTCTCTGGAAAATAGTGAAGGCCTGCTTGCACAATTGTTCATTGTGCTGAACTCTGTAAAGTAATCTTTATAGCTGCGGTCACTGTTTTGAAATTGGGAAACTGGAACCAGCTGAAAAGCCCTCTGCCGATAGAGGGATAAATTGTGATACAGATTATCAGCCAAAAACACAAAAATGGGAATACCAGCTGTCATTTATAGAAAACACGACAGGAAAGAAATTCATATAGGCACATAATACACATTATGGGCTTGTTAATCAACCTTACCAGCATGAAACAGGTACTACTTGATGCAAGTTAGGATCTGTCCAAGAACCAGCAAACCCTACCTCCTCTTGCACACCGTCTCCTCAGTTTTCCACTTTCTCCATCAGGCTGACAGGCAAGTACCAAAGACACCTGGGCTGACTCCAAGAGGGAAAATAAGGGCGCACCTAAGAGAGGAATTTCTGAACTTCTCTCCTCTCTGACTAAGGGCACAGGGAGGACGTCTGTGCAACTATAAAATCGCTATATCTGGAGATCGAACATAATCCTGTCTCTTCTCTCTTGTCTGCAGCAATTATGAGGAAAACTGCTGCGTTCGACCACTATATATTAATTTCCGTCAGGATCTGGGTTGGAGGTGGATTCACGAGCCTGAAGGCTACTATGCAAACTTCTGCTCTGGTCCTTGTCCCTACATTCGTAGTACAGACACCACCTACAGCTCGGTGAGAAAACACTTTTTTGATTTAATAAAAGACAAACAAAAATTAGTGATTAGTTGTGAAGTTAAAGGTTTTTGATACATGATTTACATGCAGATAAGATTGAATTTTAATTCTAATACATGGTGGTGGAAGTATTATGCAGCTTTATTATTTATGTTGGTTAGAAACACATCTTGACCCTTAGATGATCTGCTGAAACTGTTCAAAGATTATGATGTATATATTGTAGTCTGCATGTGTACAGCTTGTGTTTGTTTAAAATTATATATGATTTTTGATTTGCTTCACAAGATGGCATTGCATTCTGTAGGTCTAAAACATTAAATAACTGAATTTAATGAAAAGGGTAGGATGTCTTTTAGAAAGAACTGGAAATCCTGGAAGCGTTTTAAAAACCTCACTGCTGATCCTCTCTTCCTTCCACAGCTGCTGAGCCTCTACAACACCCTGAACCCAGAAGCCTCCGCCTCACCCTGCTGCGTTCCTCAGGACCTGGCGCCCCTCACCATCCTCTACTACGTGGGACGCTCCCCAAAAATCGAGCAGCTCTCCAATATGGTCGTCAAGTCCTGCAAGTGCAGCTAAGCTTCAGGGATTCAGCGGCGAGCAGACATGGGAAGAGAAGCCTTGGAGGAGGATGAGGGTGGAATTTAAATTGGGCAGGATGCAATTTGTCCTGGACGACCCCCGCCCCACCCTCTCTTCTGCTTCAGCCTTGCCCAAGAAGACAAAGCAACCCACTGATCTCCTTGCAATAATTGGCAGCATATACGAAAACTCATCAGAGACCACTTCACCATGACTGACATCAGTATTACTTGTGTTTGTCCTAATTACTATTAGAGCATTTTGAAAAGCCTGTACCTCACATGACTATTGCCTGTTTTCACTGAATGAGGAACAAGAACAACCATCTCGGTGTAAATCTCAAGGACAATAAGTGTTTGCAACCAAGAAGAGGCTGTGAATGTGAACGGGACTCAGCATGCATCAGAAAGGGGGTAGAATGAGTTGATTTGTCTGCTAGGAGCAAACCACGACACGCATGCTAAAATCCAACTTGGAAGCTGCACTGTGCACGCCACAGCTCCCTACATTGTCTGAGGAGTTTATGCTGTTTAATGAAAATGACATCAGTGGGAAAAAAAAAAAAAAGAAAACATGCTGGAATCTGATTTTCATTTCATCATATTTACCTCTGTAATGCAACAGCATGGTGATTCCAGGGATTGTTTCATTTTAAAGTGAAGCCTTTCTGTTATTCTGAGATGATGTATGTCACTAAATGAACTAAACTAGATCACAAACTGTAAATGTTTTTCTTACTCATGAAAACACTTTTAGTTTTTTTGTTTGTTTTTTTTTATTAAAAACTGACAATCTGACAGCTCTTTTCATTATTATTGGACAATGAACTGCCTTTTTAAATGTATACTTAGTGCAGTGCTTATGCTACAGTCTGCTGAAGGAAAACGTATCATAGTACATTGAGTCTTGTAACATGCATGTATAGGCTTTAAAGGTAATAAATCCACAACGTTCCATCAAATGTTACAAAAACAAACAATCACATTATTGAGCTTCTTTAAAAACTACAAATAGTGCAAAATCACCGAAAATGTCTTTTACCTCATAATTAAACCCTGAGTGAGCTTTGATCCTTAATACACAAAGGTTTAAAGGAGCTTATAAAAGCGTTGTGACCCATTGGACTTTCCCAAACACAATACAAATGTTTTTTGGGGGATTTTATGTAATAAATTAACAAAAAGGAAAGCATAAATAAGAAATGGGAGGGGAAGAATACATGGTTTTCCAAATGATTTGCAACAAACAACTTAAAACATTTGGAGGGTATTTTATTGAACACCCCTATGTTTTCCTAAGATATTTGTAGAGCCAACTTCTAATGTGATGTTATAAACTCTTGACTTTTAACATTAATATCGTTTAAATTAAAACCATGTCATTGCAGCTCTAGCTGCAGGTTCGGGAATGTCATTCGTATGAAAGCAGTCTTTTTGCAGCCTTTAACAGCTTTTTCCCTTCGGATCAGACCAAGATATCCCCACAGCATGACGCTGACATCATGTTTCCCCATGAGGATATGTCGAAGGCAATGTACATTTTTAGGATGGTGCTAGATGTTGTCTGAAAATATATTATTCCCCTCCATCCGGCACAAGAACTAACTTGCGTTTGTTTTGTCACCTGAATGCGTTCTTCCTGTAGTTTTCCTTCTACTATGGTTTCTTCTTGCTGCTCTTCCATAGGTTTTGATTTGTGTTGAGCTGGATAACAGTTCTTTTTTTAACAATTTTCCAATATGAGATCTGAATCTCTGCTACACTGCCAGTTAGTTACCTTGAGCATTTGGATGAAAGCTCTCCTTACTCTGTGTGTCACTATAGGTAGACAATCATATTTTGCTAGGTCTGCAGCTACAGTATATCGTTCTCTTTCCATTTTTCTATGATAGATTAACCAGTGATTTGCTGTATGTCAAAAGCTCACTAGATTGTTTTATAACATCTCAGCAGTTCTATCTCCAATCTCTCTGTCCTTGGCCCTCAAAAGGTGTTTTTTTATGTGACCTTCTACAACAACTTTCTGACTTCTGAGGGCTTTTATAGTTGCATTGTAAATTATTTAGGGATATTAAAGTAATGACGGATAAACAGAAATGGACACACATTGTATTTAAATAAGATTTTTAAAAACACTTGTGACTTCCTTCAATCATAACATCATCATAACAACTTGTGAAAAGAAAAAAAGGGGCATTAAAACTTTTACAAGACACCTAAAATCCTAAGATTTTAGGCATCACACTAAGGTAGGGGTAAAAAAAAATGACACCATTTCATTTTTCTTTGTGATCTTTAAACTTTCTTCGTTTTTTTCTCTGAATTCCTGATGAAAAAGCTTTCTGAAGGTCTTATAGTTTTCTTTGGATCTTGGCTCTTTTATTTCTTTGACCATGATGGTTAATGTGGCAGTGTTTTTATTTTTATTTTTTTTGACTGAAATGGATAAATGTTGGATGGAAGAAGAGAAAGGCTTAAATTATTTCCTTTAGTTAAACCATTTTTAAAATCTAAAGCTTAAAATGCAGGAAAATAAATCATCCTTAGGCTGAATATCTACTGTTAGCCAAGAACTGAACTAAATACTCCAAGAATTATTTCACTGGCATCTAAAATCAAATTTTATCTGTCAAACCATGTGATCTCTCATTGATTCAGCCTTAAGAAATTAGAACTAAATAGGTGCTTTATGACAGGCTGCTGGCAACAAAGTCTCTACCAGACCAAATTGAAAGTGATTCTTCACCAACTTGTAGTTTAGTATGTAATACAACACTGGTTTAATATCTTCAGTTTAAAGGTGAATTCATGGCAGAATGACTCAAGGAAATGAGGGGCTTTAACAGTGTTTAAAAATGGTCAGATACTGACTCTGTACTGTAGAAAGCAGCTAAGGTTGAAACTAATTTAAATAGACCTTTAAAAAACCTGTGAAAATATTAGGGTTATCTAAAGAAGATAGAAAATAAATAAAGGAGGGAGGTGTACTTTTACAATATTGCTCATAAACCTAATATCCTTTTTTTTTGTTGTAGCTTCAATTTAATTGTCAGTCAACTTCCACAAAATATGTGATGTGCAAAAAGAGAATGGATTAATCACATCGAATTTAATCTCTCCACTTAAGAACGTCAACAACTTGTTTACAACATTTACAGCAAAAAAATTACAGGTTAGATTGAGAACTGAGACCGCTGCACTTCAAAATCAAGAGACAAGGCAAAAACCCCTTCAGCTTGTAAGCTTGTATATGAAGGAAGCTATACTTTTACTTGTCCTCAGGCAAAGGTCAGAGCTTTGGCAGCTGTATGGCTTTTAGAATAAGAGGACAGAGTAATGTTGGAAACCACACATGAAAGATTCTTTCATGTTCACCAAGTGCTGCAGTAACGTAAGAAGCTACCTATTCAGTGCTAACAATACTTGTGAAAAAGAAAAATCACCAAAAGTCTCTCATTACCCTTTTCTACATCCAGTTGGGGCTTGGTTGGAGAGATGTAGTTACACAGCCAGAGGTGCACACACCAACAGGTCTTGCAGACCCATCTGCTGAAGGCTATCTGTCAGTGAAACCTTCCTGTGGCTTCGGTGGCATGGAGAGAATGAGAGCGGGCAGCTGCTAGGATGTAGACGGACTGTGGCCAAGGGCGATGAAGCGGTTGGGGGTGTTGGAGTTGGAGCTGTGCAACTAAATCCCGACCTGCGTCAAAGCTTGGCGTTCCTAGCCTTGCATGTCTCTGGCAGCAGAATTAATAGGATGCTGTTCGATGTTAGGCATACTTTAATCTGTTGTCCTTTCCCAGAATATCACTGTGAAATGCCGTTACATGCATAGACACCTGTCAGGCCTGCAGAATAGCAGGACGTGCACAAGATCCTCTTCATGTCATCTGTGGGAGGGCTCCTGGCTCTGGAACAGCTTGCCGTGTGCAGAAAGACCTGGAGAGCAACAAAACAAGGAAGCTACTTTAAATGTCTCTGAAATGCCTCTACAAGTAAAACATTAGTCTAACCAGGAAGATATTTTACAGTTGAGATCATGGTGTTAAATTGTCTGTTTTACTTTTCTATTACTTATGGTTGAGAAGGTTACCAGCTGATCAGTTCAGTAAGTGTACTCAATATTCTTTTTTTTTTTCTTACTGCTTTCATGCTCACAGCGCCTGAAGCCCTCACCTTATCGGCTGGCGCTCAGCCAGATATCCTGCAGGAAACGGCATTCCAAGCAAACTCCAAGCTGCTGTGTTTGTGCTCCCAAACACTAGGTCTTTCATTCCCCTCTCTGCAAATTGTTTGTTTTGGTGCTCTTTTACACTTTGGGGCCTGACTGAGCTGAAAAAGAAAAACATCTCCCTGACTTTGAGTATGAGGATATAACTACTGGAAGTGGGTTCCTTCGGCTCAGCAAATGAAAGAGGGAGATGCAATATTTCCTGTTAAAATCAAAATGACACAAGATAAACTTTCGCTGCCTTTCATGAGTCCTCCAAACCTATAAACCTGCAACATTTTCTCACAGGCCTTGGTGTATTTTTTTCAAACTTTCCTGAATGACCACAAGACAGTCAGTGGTTCTGACAGGAAGGAAATTGATACATATTTCAAAGATATTTAACCAAAAAAACTCTTAACAATTGTGGTATACAAATACATTACCTCCACTTCTTTGTGAAACATCCAAAAGAAAAAACAAAGATTGACCCTCAAGCTGGTAAAAATGTTTAAATGGCAACTTTTAGTTGTGTGTTCCTCAAAGAAATATGGCTTCTTTAAAAAGAGATTTGAAGAAAGGCAAGGGATTTTCTTCTTATACTTTGTCATGCAAAGGGTGCTTGTAAGGGTACATGTCGCAAAGACTGACACTGCCCGACAACCTGGAGACAACATTCCCACAAACATGGTGGTGATAGCAGCATGCTCTGGGGATTCATTTCCTTATCACAGCCACAAAAGCAGGTCAGAGTTGATGATCAGATAGATGGGACTAAACAAAGAGAAAATCTGCAAACAGTTTGCACCTGTTGCAGAGCACAACCACCATAAACATATAGCCAGAGAGACAATAGATTGGTTTAGATCCATGACTCTCAAGGTGTGACAAATGTAGGACTAGTGATTAGGCTGCTCTTTGTGGTATTATCAGGCACACATAACATAAGAAAATAAAAACATCTGTAAAAACTGAAGTGGAAGGCACAAAACCAAGAAGAGGTGCTTCTAGAAACCAAGCTCTGGTCTGATAATGTTCAGTGACCATGTTGACTACTGTTAGCAGCATAAGCAAACAGAATATTTCACTGCTGATACATCCTCATTGAATGTTGTTGTATATTACTGCATGCAGGAAAGCTAAAGAGAAACTAATTATCAGAGGGTCAACTTAGCAATTCCTACAGGCAGTGGTTAATACCTTAAATACCAAGCAGCCATATTGGGTTTGGGAAACTTTCCAGCTTGTAAATTCACTTTTAGTGGCGATTTAAAGAGACTGTTAGAATGGGTGCCATGAACCTCTATCTTCCAACTTTAAAGGTTCAAAGTATTCAGTGAAATGGCAAATTAATCAGATCAAGGAATTATATTCATTTATTTACTTTGTTGGTCCTAGCTGATAATTGAGTATTTTTATTTTTGTTTTGCAAAGATGGATCAGTAAGAATTTGATTGCAGCAAATAAGGGTTATATGAAGGGACACAAACGCTCATCAAACTCACAACTATGTTTGAATCTGCTTATTAAGGGGCATCAGATAAAAGAGACTTAACACATAGGCATAAAACACCTTTACTGATTGTTTAAAACATTGTCCTTTTCACGCATTCTCCTATTTCGCTATGCCCTACTCTGTGTTGGTCTAACACATAAAAGTCCCAACAAAACCAATACTTTTGCAAGGCAGAGTTTTCCCTTAAACCTACTGGAGTATGTTGTATGATGATTCCAGGAGTAAATTGCCTAATACATGTGGGAAGTAGCAAGCCTGCTTTCCCAATGCTCCACACAGACCTACTTTGATAGAGAGAGGCTTAGGCTATTTGTTCTAACACGATCAGACCCCCATTAAAGTGGCACAAATGCTGCATTCATTTCCTTCTCAGGCTTGAGCAATAAATCTCCACACAGTTACCAACAGTAGAGAGCAGAGAACTTCAAGGGAACCTCAAGGGAAGCATTGTAAAACACATGTGGTGGATATAATGTAGTTTTGTAAGCTTTGGTGGGTCCTCATCAGAACCGTGCCCTCGTGTCATGTCTAAAATCAACACAGGGGAGGAGGGGGGAGAAGGAGGGGAGGTTGACGTGAACGAGTCGGAGAAATTTTCAGGGCATAGAGGGAGAGCCGTATGAGCACCGAGAGGCAGAGATTAAAAAGGCGCACAGGAGAGAGATAAAGGGAGAGTGTGATTAACGATGGGTGACAGCTGATCATAGAGAATGTTCTCCATTTGGACTCGCTCTAACTGCCTGTCAGAGTCAATCAGGGGTACTCAGTCATCTTGCTACAAAGGCAGAAAGACCTGATGCACTTCTCTTCTGCACAGAGACTGCGCCCATTCTAACAGCCTTCTTCCCTTTAAATCGCCACCGTGAGTCCCTCTTACACTACATGTTCTCTCTGTGATGAAAAACCAGCAACCACCAATAAGCGTTGCAGATGCATATGCTCACAATGGATTTTCAAAATGTAATTTTCTTAGGAAACATGGAAGGGTTAACCTATATGTCCCTGCTATTATTATGCTTTTTGTAGCTATCTGCAAGCCTGGCATAGTTCAGACTGAATATGTAATCACTCTTCCTGACAGATCTAATAGAGCTCATTCAAACTGTTTGGTTTCCTGGCAAAGTGCCAGACCTTTACGAAAAGTCCACAAGCATGATGAAGTTTAGGTTGAGGTCATTCCAGGAGCTTAATGGCAGCCAGGCGTGTCCTGAAAGCCCTTCTGATGGCATTTAATTGTTATCAAGGTGAAACACCACGTTGTATCCAAGTTTTACCCATCTAGCTTAAATTGAGATAAAGTTGGACGTTATTTTTAGGTAGTTCCATATGGCATCCAAATTCTGCATGCGTTTGTATAACTGGCAGTAAAACTGACCCACAGAGTGATCCTACCATCACCAAGCTTTAAACTGTGTACAGCTTTTTCTCTTCCAAGCATTCATCTTGTCACTACAACAAATTCAATATTCATTAAGTTGTACTCCTTGTATTCTTTTTTTTTTGTTTCCAGAAAATGTGGCTTATTGAGTCACAATTTTGGTGCAGATGCTTCTTTGTATGTCCTTGGTAAAAGTCGTTTTACTGTGGACAGTAACACAGGTGTTCCTGCAGGTCCCTGCTTATGATTGAGTCTTTGTTCATCCTTCTAATATATTCCTAGATCCTGAAAGGGACCGGCCATGGCAGATGTTTGAAACTTGGGCAAAAGTTGCTGTTTTTGATCCAGAAATCAAATCAGCAATGGTTCAGGAATTTAACCATTGGTTGGGTGTTCCAGTGTGTATTTAAGTTTTAATGGATCAACTTGACACTCGGCAATAAAAATAAATAAAAGGCAAAACAATAAATAACATTTCCTGTATTTTCTGTAAGCTATAGAAGCTGAGGCTTTTTTGAAAGAAAGAAAAGACAAACCCTCCCGAACCTGTAAATCCTGAATGATGGAAAAAGTGCATTCAAGAAATTTAGATGCTGCTCCCGAAGGATCCAATTACAGTAATTTATGAGTTTATAAGATGTTTGTTGAGCTCAGCCAGCATTCTTCGCTTGTGGGCAGTGGGAAAAAGGAGAACAAAAAGGAATATTTCACCACAAAGAGACACCAAGTTTTTTTTGGATGCGTTTGTGAGGGGTATGAGAGGGGCACAGAGGGGAAGGGGTGGGGGTTTATGCATGGCTACTGTATATTTCCATTATGGTGATCTCAGGGCAGACAAAATGACATGATGTAAAGGATCTGCTGATACTAATGTATAGCAGATCGTTGGAAAAAACGTATAATCAGACAAACAGATGTGAGCAAACTTCCTGACATCATCATCCCTGCAATGAGGCACAGAGCTGTGTAAATGACTGCACACATGTGAGCTGTGGAACCCACAAAGTCGGCGCAACATTTGCCCTTTGAAAAGAGCAGTAGCTGTGCATGCATGGGAATGGTCAACATGAGGGAATGACCAAGCAGACTGTAAACCTGGATTTTATTTAAATGAAATATAATACCTCTTTACTATTATGCCCACTTATCTTTCCAGAAACATCGGACCTTGAACAAGTGATGCACTTGTAATGAACAACCAAACTTAAAATTTCTATTCAGGGAAGTTTTTTTCTCTTCCCACATTTTAAATCCCCACATTCCAGGATATAAACTGTTTTTCGCATAAATCTTAGGTAGAGGTGGTGATTTACATTTTATTGAATTTCTGGCAAACATTTGGGAATACTGATCCTGCCCTGAAACGCTTCAGAGGGCTTTATATCAGTTCGCCAGTTAAAGGTTTAAAGAGGTATTTCATATTTGTTAAGTGGGTTACTGTTTAAAGGCTTTGATCAGTCTAAGGTTATGCAAGCTTATTGTTGTCAAAGATGGAGAAATGTTTCCTTAAAGGTATAATGGAGGATTTTTCGCTAGTTTTACCTCTCCACTTAAAAAAAGAAAAGGTGCATGCACCGTGAACAGGGTTTGGTACAGGGAGCGGGTGTCTATTAAACGTGTTAGAGAGCAGGCACGAGCCCATTTCTCCTGATGAACGCTCTGTTTAAAAGATGCTGTTCTCATCGCTCATACAAGCTTACAAGGAGATATACAATTTTTCCACTATGTCAGACTCACCGCTGGTAAGTGAAAATGGGGATGAGCACGTAGGATGGCCTTACGTAAACATATCACCAGAATGATTGACAATTGGGAGGACAATTTATTTTGATGATCCATCTGGAAAAAAACATCCTCCACTAAAAGCAGTACGGAGAACAATGGCTGCCCTTGGTTCCATTTTTATTATGGGTGACGTTAAGGTGATTCTGAGAGATGAATCAGATTAACGTGATTAATTCATCCTTCTTCACGATGAAATTAGGACATCTAAGTCTGGACCACTTTAAAGTATAAATATAAGAGAGAAACTTCTATCTAGTTTAGATTTTAAATATGGAATCAGCAATATTTATGAGCTAAACTCAATCAGTGCAAATTTATTTTACCACAAATCTACTGTATGGAAAATAATAAAATCTCCAATACTTCTTAACCATCGAAGTATAAAGCTTTAAAGAATCAGCTGATAATTCAACAGTTTCTTTGACATTTTACAGCATTTGCTGATTCAGGAAATGGGCTTTACAACAGATGTCAATCAAAGTTCACTCTAGTAACTAGGTTACAACTATGTTTCACTGTTAATCTCAACTTAAACAATGCTATACATTGTAACATTGAGTGTCTGAGAAAGAAGGAGTATGATAAAAATATCGAGTTGCGTTTATCAGTTCTCAATGGGGAATGTCCACTGTGTCTGCTGTAATCAGACCCATGACAATGACACTGGGGTAGAGAGGAATAACTTTCCCCAGCTGAGGACTGTGGTAAAATGTAGAGCATATGTTCATGTAGAACTGCAACATCAAACCCACCTGTTTTACCGCAATTGGCCTTGTAGACCACCTGCTGGCCGCTTGATATGGAACCACTGGCTGAACTCTCAGAGGACATCTGCCTGTTAATCAGAAACAGCTCAAGTATGAAAGACTGAAAGTGATTATTCTTAAAAAATATATATATAAATATCCGTAGGACTATTTTCTTCTCCAGTCCTCCAAGGATTCTGTGGAACTAAATGTCAAAACTTAAAATGAATTTCTCTTTGGGATTGTTTGTGGGTGTGTTTGAGCCCTCTGACATGAGCGAAGCGGACTCGGATTGAAATGAAGCTCTTTCTGTGCAGTCGGTGGAGCCTGGTGAGGCTAAGTGTTTACTGAGTGCCTCTCCAGAGCTATTGTGACAAGAAGGAGAGAAATTCCTGCTCCTTGTCCAAAGTGATGCGATTATCACTCCGGCTAGAATACGCTGGCGATTACTGACCGAGTCCGGCTGTAAGAAGAGATTACAAACATAGAGAACGCGTAGAGTAATTTGCAAATCAAGTTGTTTATTTACCTTCCATGGCTTAATGAGCAAGTCTAAAGATTATAGAAAAGAAATTAAATACCTCTTTTCAAATAATTGCACAGTGAGAGCAGTGTTTTCCAGAAGCACACTATTAAAACAGCTACCGAAGCATAAAGCATGAGCAGACACGTCTGTAACCTTATGCATTAAATCTGTTGAGCATTTTTAGGGGGAACAATAAATAAAGCTTAGCTGGCATTAACCTCTCGCCCCATAACAGCAGCATGCCAAAGGAGCATTAATAAGGTAATGAGGGTACACACTGCCTCCTTGTAAGGGGCTGCACAGTTGTTCTTTCATACCATTACACAACCACAAATAGAACTGGCCCACTTTAAGCGTGGCATACCTCGACAGGAAGCAGCCCCTTTCACATCGACAGGGCGAGGAGGGGGATGCTTGACCTCCGGGTCCTTTCACATCACTTTCTTTGTCAACAGTCTCTCACTCTGTCACTTTAAGAGTCAGAGCAGCCAGAAGAGCTGCAGTGGAGAACTGATTCTGAATCTGCAGTGTGTGCACAAACCTCTACTAGAAATTCTAACAGACACAGATCTACGGTTCTTGTGTTCAAGCCAGTAGTATGTCCCTAATGTGATTCCGCCCTGACCAATAGGGGATAAAGTTTAACCATAAACACACGTTTGGAGGCTTCTGTGTGTATGCAGCATTCTATGAAAACAACTACTGCTGCGTCTGATTAATAGGGAGTGAGAGCAGCAGCGAGGCTGACATTAATGGCGCTGGTATAATTGTCACCCTATTAGTAATGCCACACGACAGCGTGGGTTTCCGTAGTTACAGCTGTGACTAACCAAACCCTGCAAACAAAATACCAAACAGGCTCATTTATTTGTGTAACAAATTGCTGCTTTCAAAGCCTTCACTGAAGTCATTCCACTCTGAGTCTTTGCAGCCCTTCAGGTTGGCAGCTGTGGTATGTTGATAGAGCGGCGAGAGGTCCCTGCCCTGCTAAGTATGATACCACTAAGCTGCGCAGTTGCTTCAACTGAGCATGCTCTTTGGCGACTGGGCTTAAACACAAGAGCTGAAAGTTTTTTTCATTCGTATAGCTCCACTATGTTAGAAGGAATCATGCCCTATTAAGCTTTTTTTTCTTGTTAGTAACAAAACAACCACAAATGACAAGGTATTTTCCAGGGATTTCCGGTGAGAGGCTGGCAAAACAGAGTGATTGTTAAGCTGTGGAAAAGGGATGCATTCATATTCATTTTTTTTAATAATAATTAAAAATGGCAAACATTTGGCAAATATTTGCTTTCTGTCCACCTGACTCAAATAACATTGATCCACTTTTCTTGACGTATAGATAACAGTCTATTTGATTTGTTTCTACCAACTTTGGACATTGGACACTTAAATTGATGTAGATTCCTCTTTATAAAACAGATCCAACTCTGTCAGATTAGATTGAGAACATACAGTATGTGAACTTGATTCTTAATGGAACATAGGTCCAGCCTTATACTGCGTCCCTCTGCTACATGAGCATGCTTTGATCTAAACAATTTCATTGTAGCTCTGGCTGTGTGCACTGAGTCATTGTCCCACTAAAGGTCTAGAGTTGGCAGCTTCTGCAGCATTTTCTTACCATATTGTTCTGTGCTTAGCTCCATCTACCTCTCTTTGCTCAGGCCAGCTAACCTTGCCTGAAAGCTAAACTTTACAGTATCTGTGTGATCACAAACACACAGGAATCCATAAAACATGGCAGCTCAGAAAGATGCATCACCTAAGTGAAGTTGCCCCCCCCCACCACCTTCTTCAAATCAGACAAAATTGGTGTCAAACGTTTGTGCTACGTTAGTGCTGGTTTGTGCAGCAAAAATTTTAGTTTGTGCCGCTATCATTTTAAAGATATAAAGAGATGTTTCTAGAGGTCATCAAAGGTCAACCAGCCCCCCCCCCCACCCAACTTCTTCTAATGAGGCAAAGTGGGTGTCAATTAACTCAGCTCTGTTTGAGCTGGTTTGTGCAGCAAAAACAGATGTTACCTGATCTTTGATGACCTCTACAAAATATATTTAATATCATTGAAATGATAGCAGTACAAATGAACATTTTTGCCATACAAAAATATAAAATGTAAAAATTAATTTTAAATATAAAATATTTGAAATATATACACATTTAAAAATGCATATTTTAAAATATATACATTTTTTTATACTGCTATCATTTTAATAATAATTGTTTGTAGAAGCCATCAAAGGTCAGTGAACATTTGTTCATTCTGAAACTCTGAATTTCATATAAATTATAAGTTGCTAACCTATGATTCTGTAATTTTAAACTGTAAAAAAATGATAGCGGCACAAACGAAAATGTTTGCTGCACAAACCAGCACAAATGTAGCACAAACGTTTGACACCAATTTGTTCTGATTTGAAGAAGGTGGGGGGGTCAACTTCTGTTTTGTCAGAATCCACTAAAGAGGAACAGCATGAGATATATGTTTTTGTCTGATGTAGATTCTCATGGTGTCTATTTAATTTTTATTGTAACAGGCTAAAACCAAGGTTTGGTGGGTGGGCAATAGGTGTCCCTTCACCCAAACAGCTCAAAGGTTTGCTTTAAGTTCCTAGATCTGATTCAACAAGAGTAGTCTCACATTGATAATGTGCAGAACTAAACCTTAGAGCTACATGTTATCCATCTGTTTTGCCAGCTTTTAGGGCCGCTGCCCTGTCCATGATCAAGGAAAGCATTCCAAGAGCATGATGCTGTATTTAAGATCATGTTCATTGTTCTTTTCCCTTGATCACTTAGAGTTTTGCACGAAAAAAAAAACTAACAATCTGGTCTTATCTACCCACAGCATCTTATTCTGACCTTTACATGGCTTGTGGCAAACTGCCAAATCCCCAGGTTTTTGATCACTCTAGTTTTTAATTATCTTTAGCACCTTCAGAGAGGCATTATAGGTAGGTTTTGTTTGCTGGCCTGTCAGTTTAGGTGAATAGAGACGCTATGTGAGATGTAAAGAGCTTAAAACTGGTTTTATAACCTTACTGCCTCATAGGTCTCTACGTCATTCCTGACCTGTTTGCTGCGTTTCTTGGTCTTCAAGAGGCTTTCATAGAACAACTGGACGTATCCTTGGATTAAATTACTCACCAGGACTCTATTAACTGATTAGGCGACTTATAAAGAAGGTTGGGATTTTATTCAGGGATATTTGAGTTAAGTGGGCTCCTTGAGAACCATAGATATTTTTTCTTCCGCTTGACAATCACACAATACAAAAGTTGAAGGGGTATAAAAGTTTTTGCAAGGCAGTCAAAGCTAAACCTGAAAAAAGAATTGGGATTCCAGATAAAACTATTGTGGGCGGCCTACTAAAGAGTTTTATGTGTTAGACCTTCACAGAGAATTGCAGTGCACTGTTCATGGAAAATTCAAGGGAACAAGGGATGGAATATGTGTGTATCAAACAGTGGTTTTTACAATTTGATATAGGACGGTGTTTGCAGAGCTGGACAACCTTGAACTCTTTGAATGCATTCAGCACAGTGATGCTATTATAAGTTGGAGAGGATTAGCCTGGCGCTGGGATACGTTTCAGATGTGCCTCAATAACAAAGGTATAGAGTTGCCCTGAAAAAGAGCGCTGGAAAAATGGGGAAGCAACTCATTATCCTTCCGTTTTCTGGAAACAATCATCTCCTTTCTTCCGGATGGAGCTTACTTTTCTCTGTCATTCTTGATTTTCTCATCTCTTTATTCTCTCTTTCCATTGTTTCCATCAGAGCTCTTTTTTTTTTTTTTTGCTCCTGAAGCTTCCGTTTTTCCCACACTCTCCCCTGTCACACTGGTAGGCCACAAAAATGCAGGACAGAGCGGAGTGTGAGGGGGGCTCTGGAATTCCACATGCAGAAGGTAAACACAGCAACTGCCAGGAAGACACACACACAGGAGCAAATACAGCACCTACACAGCTCTCCGTTCTATATTAGCCATTCTCTGCTCTATTAACTCTTTTAATGCCAAGTACAGTTCGTCCAAAGTGGCAACACTCTAAATGTGCAGGTGTTTAACTCAATCTCAGTTGGAATAAATGAAATGAGTTAAAATAACACACACAAAAAATGAACTGCCAGATAGATTTTTTGGATAATTTGCAGCTAAGCCACCCTGTGGTGCCATTCCTCTTCCACATTAAACAACACTGGAAAGGTCTTTGCCAGCACGCTTTAAACAAACAATCAGCCCTCATCACATGGGCTTGCTGCTGTTGTGTAATTTGGATGTTTTAGAAACACAGTCATAAAATTAGCAAGGGAAATAACTGGCAGTTGAGCCCAGTTTCACCCCTTTCCTTTTTATTTTTCCTTCTGTACTCTTCACCTTATCTCCAAACTAAACAGGATTTAAATGGAGCCCAGAGCCCGAACTCCAGGCCCTTTCACTGAACCAGATTCTGTTTATGGTTCAGGCAGAAATCAGGCCCCATGATGAGGCTGTTTACCGAACAGGCAGATAGAGCCAGAGGCCAAAAGGCTGGAAATAGTCCATTATGCACATTTTCTGACTCTCATTAGCATTAGCTGTATCCGCTTGAATTCAGTGATCTCATGAGCACCGTCTTGTTTCAGAAGCAGGTGGCCAAAACTGCCATCCTATTGCCATTAATGTTTGAAAAATATATAGATTTATTCTTTCATTTATCTTTGGGTCTTGACTTACTTGATCAGTCGTTTCGTTGCCGTTTTCCTGACCTGTCCCTCTCGTGCACTACTGGGTGGCTTTGGAACAAAACCAGGACTGACACAGATCTCGCTTTGGCTGAGACTTGGCCAAACTTGTAAGCTTGAAGATGGACAGTTGGAGGGTTTTGTGGATACCTGGGTGTTTGGGGCGCTTGTCTGGTCCTGAAATTGGCAAAATAAAGAGAAACAACCAATAATTGATCAAAACAATATGTGGCCAGCACAACAGTATCATCTAGATAAGTAACTTTTAATTGATTTATTTTGTTTAATTTTAAGTACAAAAATCATTTCAATTTATTAGGAACTTTAACTGCATTTTTCTAACAAAAAAACAATGCCATTGGGTTTGTTTTCAAATGATTTATTTAGTTTTACTTTGTTTTATTTAAATTAGCCTATAATGGTATGGTAGGAAATAATATAAGCGGTTTGATCTTCCAAATGGCATGTCATTTTGCATCAAACTTTATGTTTTATCTCATCTAACAAGGCAACAAACCAACAGTTATTTTGCTTTCTTTAAAAAATGCATTGTAATGTAGGGTGACCATATTTTCATTTGGGAAAACCAGGACACCTTGGAGGGGGGGGATGGATTGAAAGAACAAATGTCTCATCATCGGGATTTGCTCCGTGATCAGAGGAAATGTTACTTGGCTCAGAACAGTGGTGAAAATTGGAAGTTCAGTTTAATATAATACAACTCTGTGAATAGTTCCGTCTGAGATGAATGAAAATAGTTGTTTTAATGGTTATTGAGTCAGATATGTGGCGGTAATTTTTGATTTATCTAAAGGTTTTTATCTGTTACTGTGTAAATGGGTTTGGCTGTAATTTAAGGACAGATTCTAATAGATCTGCAAAGTGCGAACTATAAATCTGATAGGAGTTTAATTTTTTTATTGTTGTTTTGCACAATATGCTTAACTAAGTATTTTTTGTTGTTGAATATTAGAGATTTTGCAGATATATTTTTTATAAATACATTGTTTAGATTTACTTATGTATTTCTAACCCTTTTATAGTATAGAAAATCCCTTTATTGTCCCACAATGGGCAAATTTACAGCAGCAAAAAGATTATTGAAAATGGTCACACAAATGAGGACCTTAGAAAAATGTATAAGAACAACATAATAGGGAAGAGTTAAAATATAAACAATACAATCCTGTAAAGTGTTTTAACAATATAAAACTGGAGAATAAATAACCAATATGCAGCTATGGACATTTTTACAGTAATGGATATTTGAAAATAGCAGCAACATCAGAGATGTGCAGAATGACAGCAGCAGGTTATTTAACTGACTAAGGTTTCTATCATTACATTTGATTTTATTTGTTCCTGCTCCCGGTGGTTGGAACCTTTATTCCACTCTGGATTCTTGTGAGTGTAGTCTTTGTTCGCTTTAACTTTTTAACAAAATAAATAAATAAACAAACAGTTTTGAAAACCTCGGTATTCATTCTTTTCCTGCTTTGTGTGTCAACTTTCACGGTTGCTAAGCAACAGAGCATAAGCTGTTAAAACCCGCCGAAGGGTAGACCTGTTCGAATTTACAGACAAAACTCTTCCGGCCTCCTTATTTTCAAGGACTTCGAAGGATCCAGTCTAGGTAGACCGCGTTCATGGAGGATACAGCCCAGGTTTTCGAACAGAGCCTCTGATTAAGAACAGGGCTGCCCGCACTGACGCGGCTCAGGGATTACGTCACACGGAGCGTCGTGCGCAGTGAAATCAGGACATTTCCTCCTTTTCTAAAAAAACCCGGGACGCCCGGGACAGGACGTGAAATACGGATATGTCCCGGGAAATACGGACGTTTGGTCACCCTATTGTAATGTTGAGTGCTTGTTTAACAGTTGTCCTTTGAATTGGTCGAGGTGTGGATCTCTGCAGCTCTACCAGTGTTACCATTAACCTTTTTTTTTCTTTTTGAGTTTTTGCAGCACTAGTGGCTCATTTTTCCAACAGTAGGCTGACAGGAAAGTGGGTATGAGAGAAGGGGAGAGACATGCAGCAAAGGACCACAGGTCGGATTCGAACCCGGGTTGGCCGTGTCGAGGGCCTGGTTCACAATCAGAAACCAGATGGTCAGCATGTGTGTCGCAGGGAACGCAGATATGCCTCCCTCCTCTTCCGCAGCCACTTTGGTACACCATATACATCCGCTCTACACTATGCGTCTTTGCCGTTTGGTACCTTAACAGCTTGTTTTGTTTGTATGACCACTATTGTGGACTAAGACTTGTGAAGATGGACCAGCTAGAAGAGCGAGGTGCGCCAAGAACGCTGGGACCCTTTTTCCACCTGTATCCACGCTCTTTTGTGCCCTTATATCCCTCTGTTGTCGCACAAGCTTGCCCCCACTTCCTCACTGCCTCGGCTGTATCTAGACCCACAGGTAGTTTGTGATTGACCCTCTTGCGTTGTGGCATGGAATAACATAGCACAGACCACGCTTCAAATTTGGGCATAAATCAAAAATATCTGCGACAAGCTCACTGCGACAAATGGGAGTATAACCGGCCCTTTAGGCTGTTGATCTAAAAACATCTTTCTTTCTATGATTGGTTGTCAGTTTAGGTTAATGGGGGTTAACAGCTTTGCCTTTGTGCTATGCACTATGCCTTTTTAACTGATAACTTGACAAGCGATCCAAGGTATGTTCCTAATTTGACATATTGTTTTTTTCCTATCGTTTCACAACCAAATTGCATTGATTTTCTCTAAAACTTTCTCGATTATCTGTCTGCTGTGTTACCAAGTCTTTATTTTCTTTAAGAATGTTCTTGAATACACCTCCTATGACACCTGCATTAACTCAGTTTAACTTAATTACAGATAGACTAAATTTTCCAATTGCTTGCATTGGATTGTATGCAGGATTATCAAAGTAAAAAGGGCGGAACAAATTCATGTCAGGCTCATTCCACTTTACAACTATGTAACATTTGGTGGTGGTCTGTCACATCCATTTTCTGGAAGGAAATACATTGAAATGTTTTGCAATGCAATGAGGTTAAAGTGGTATCAACACTTTTTTAATAGTCAAAGAAGTATGATTATTACTAAGCAGGAGGAGCTAATTATTTGTCTGTATGCTATAAAAGGCTAAAAGTAACCGGAGTGAACTCCATCAAACTTGGATAAGAGGTGGAGCATGCATCCATGAGAGTACTGTACTCTTAAGGACAAAATAAATCAAACTATTCCAAAAGAAGCCAGTGGAAGTGTAATCACATTTAGAACGAGTTGGCCATGGAAAATACTGTGGCCTTTGTTTATTGAGGTGAAGTATCAAAGTGCTTGGCATGAAAAAGTGCACATATTAATGAAATGCCATGCAGTATCAAAACAAGCTTAAAATTTTTTCAAGTTGGCTGCACTGAAAAGCAAATTCTCCACATTATTTATTTGTTTATGGAAAAAGCTCTTCAAAGGCTTGGGAAGGAGCAATAAACTGTTGTCTTTCTGACATAATATCTTAGAACCACATTTCACTCGCTCCATCCAGCGGCAGGGAACGCTCGCATGCATTCCTTCCACATCTCATGCCCGTGCTATTTTTTCTGTAGCTTTATACGGCTATCTAACATGCTAATGGTTTTCCAGTTTAATGGCATAGCCGTTTAAACGGCCAACAAGGTGACATGAAATATCTGATATAATCCTTGTGTTGATAAATGAGAAGCTGGGGTTTCCAGGTTGCAAGGCCTATGGCCACAATTCAGTTTGAGCGGGGCCAGGAAGGGCACCTTTCTTTGCCTGCCAGGTGGCCCAGGGCCAAGCGAGTGGAGGAGCCGAACAGTCTGCACCCAGTAACTGGAACGTGGACTGGAGTGCCGGAACAGATCCCCCTCTCTCTATGTCTCTGAGCAGTGCTGGTGAATACACATCAGCAATCACAATCAGTAGAAAATCCATTTCTACACTTTTAATGACGTAAAATCATCAGCTGTACTAAGTTTCCCCAGAAGAGTGAAGAAAAAAACTGTGACTATAATGACAGAGTATATTTTAATTATAAAGACCAAAATTCATATTTAAAGCTAGAAAAGAATGAAAGCAGAAAGCCTACAAACCCCCAAAAGAATCGAGGTTTGATCCCTTCCAAGGAGCTGGACTTTCTTGTAATCCCTTAAGTTAATTTTGAATAATATTTCCCAAGGCTTTCTGTAGGCTTTTCAAAATCTTATGTAGAAATTGGTTCATTTATATTCGTGCAATACCTTGCTTTTAAAACTATTAACACCTCTTAAGCTTGTGCTCCAAGCTTTTAACATCTCACAGAACCATGTTTAACTCATCAACTGGAAATAAAAGTGTATTGTAAATCAAGAGGTCCAGATATATGGATATAGGTCTAAACTGACATATTTATCAAAGAAGAAGAAAAGCTGCATAACCACAAAGAGCACTTGTATAGGATTCAGCAAGCATGTGAAATGAACGCATTGATCTGGACAGACAGGACCAAAAAACAAGCGTTTCAGTTGCATACAATATTGAAGGCATAGGGTCAGTAAAAACTGCAAAACTGCATTACTGCAAAACTGCATTACATTCTACACAAATCTGGGCTATAACATGCAATCAGAGCTACAGTGGATTGGATGAGATCAAGGCATATCCCTGTTTTAAAATGGCCAAGTCGAAAATCCAGAGCTTAATCCAAATTAGAATTAGTGACAATACTTAAATTTGATTTTGACGGACCCGCCCTTTCAAACCTGACAGCGAATAAGCAGTTTTCAAAGAAGCAGCTATAATCTCAGGCTCTAGTTGAGCAAAGCTGGTAGAGACACACCTTAAAGATTTACAGCCCTTATTAAAGCTAAGCATATAAACGGAGGATTAACGCAAATACACACCACAGTTTTCTGTCTTTTATCAGTCTATAATATTCTAAACAAAGTTTTCTTTTGCTTTACACTTTTGCAACAAGTAGCGATGGGCTACTGCAAACAATCCCAGTCAAAGAACATTGAAACTAGAAAACTATTTTTGCCTGAAATTGTTTGGCTGACTGTTCTTCCAAAAAGCAAAATCTGCAAAAAATCATACATATTTGTATAACTTCATCTATACAAACCTCGAACACAAGATTTTTACCTAAATCCAACAGCCCTTTAATCAGGAACAATTTTTTTTCCAAATGCCTGCATGATATGCATTGTGTAGTATAAATAAATCTGAGTATTAGACAAGTAGAGGGAAGTTTTTAGCTATTAGTTTAGGTGGGAAAAAAAAGTAACCTTATTAGATATCAGAAATCTGAGCGGAAATCAGCAATTTATCGAAGCAAAACAAGTAATTAAGGATCTATTATCTATTTCTGAACAATGAGCTTCAAGTAATAGAAAAACAATAATATAAAAAAAGCCAAAACATGAAATAAAATCTAGAAGAAAATCATTTTAGGGGCATTGGGGCATGCAACATTTTAAATTCATATGATTATTCTTAAATAATTAAATGCAAACAATATAATTTGAAACATCATTACAATGTCAGTTTGGGAAGTTTTAACATAATGCTCTCTCTCCTGTTCTCTAGGGAGTTTGTTTAAGCAATACATAACAAAAAAACAAGACAGTTGAGAGTAAAAGGCAACTTCCGGCCTCCATGCATCTAACAGGATAATTTAGAATTAAGGGAAATGAGGTTCAGTCTGTGAGACAAAAAAAGAGACTTAAAAGCTAAGAACATTAATGGATGTTTTCTTTTTTACAAAGTTGCGTATGCTTAGACAAGCCAAGAAAAATATCACCTCAATTGCATCAATTAAGGCTCTGTTAAGGCCATTAAAAACAATCTTGAAAGAAGCTGCGTTGCTATCAACAGCTTGAAAAAAAAGGGGTTATCCAACTTTTCCACTCTATAAACTGTCCCATGACCTTTTCCTTTCTCAACTTCTCTCCATCATTTTAATGACTCCAGAAACCATCCTGAAAGTACATACATCTAGGTCCGCTCTGTTTTAAACAGCCACGTGCAAGGCTCCAAATTACAGCTTTCATGGCTGGTCAAAAAGGACCTCAAGTTGTTCTCGTTTCTAAATTTGAAACTTTGACAATTATACCAAAATTATATTTATGTTGCGAACAAACATGGAGGCCTGGTGAGACTGGAGATTCCATGCAGTATCATACTACAGTATTCTCTGTGTGTTTTACATTATTTCAAATCACAAATACTGGCTTTTATTTCATTGGTATTTTATGCAATTGAATAAACAAATGAGTGCTTAATTAATAGAATAAGAAAATAAAAAAAGAACACGATTTTTTATATTTTATTTTAATGAAAGTCCAGACTTGATACTTGGTAGAACCAGCTTTCAAATAAAGTAGCAAATTCAAGCTCAGTCTGGCTGTTGATACTCAGATCAGCTATTTTCTCCCTTTAATTAACAATTATCGTCCGAGTTCAGCTCTATGTCCATATCAAATCAATGTTTTACAGTGTGGAGGATGTGTTCAGCATGATGTACAGCATACAAACAATAATCTAAACTTTTTAGGTTTCAACTTTAACAATGGATTCCTACTTGCTAATGTTCCTTCACTATAGGATAGGTTGGGCTAATACTCAACTCCCAGCTGCCCTGCTAAAACAATCTGTAATCGGTAATCTCAGCAGCTGTTCCAGAGTTATTATGGGGCGCTTGGCTTCTTCTGGGATTAATTTTCTGTTCTAAGTTAAAAAACAATCTCTTGGTTGGTTTATACTCCTCCCATTATTTTACCAATTAATGGATTGAACAGTGACAAATGTTCAAAGGCGATATTAATTTTTAACCTGACCCTGCTTTAAATTTCTCTACAGCATTAGTTCATGACATTGCATAATAATAATGTTCTTTAATAAACATGCAAAGCCTTCACAGAAAAGCTTTAATGATACTGAGATGAAATAACACATAGCTTGGCTTAATTCAGTAACCATTTCTGAAAGCTTTTGGGTCTGTGCACTAAGGGGGTTGAATGCAAATGCACGCCGCACCAATCAGATATTATGTAAAAATGTAAACTCATCCTAAACTCATCTTTTTGTTGTTTTTAACATTTATCTTAAACTACAGTATGTGATGACCTGTCACAGATATCCAAAAATACATCACTGCATCATCAGTTTGTGGTTGTAATGTGGAAAAAATCAGATAAAAAGTGTTATGGATGTAAACTTCTCTGGAGCGTTCCATGATTATACACCTTTCAGTCAAAACCTAACAAAGAACATTAGCAAAGCAAAATACACTGGTGAAAACGTCATGCTTGGTTTTCTGGGAGTGAGTTTGTGTTAGGATCGGACATTTAAAGTGGTTTGGGAAAAGATTTGCAGATTGTGGTAATAGTCTAATCTTATAAGAGTTAAATAGTAAAAAAAACACACAAAAAAAGTTATTTTGGGAAGTGTTACAATCTGCTAAATTATATTGTTGCACAGATATGAGAGCTCCAGTTTGCTTTACCTCTCTATACATACCTGGTGTCTGCAAAGGTCCTGGTCCAAAACCTGATAAGACTTTAACCTCTGCTGTTGGAGCTGCTGAATAGCAAACTGCAATTGGTAGCTTCCTTTGTTTGGCTGAGAGCTCTGTGAAGAGTTCAAACCCGTCAACACACAGGCGGGAGTCTGCATCCGAGTGTCCCACAAAGCCTCCTTGTCCCTGCATGGCCTGTGAGCAATGAAAAGACGAGGTAGTGTAAGCAAAGCAAACTGAATAAAAAAGAACATACAGCCTAGAGTCCACCCTTTGGTGGCTCTGCAGTAAACAATAAAAGGAGATGCATCTTTTCCTAGTTTCCCCATCTAATCAAGAAGTGTAATAGAAGCTAATAAACTTCCATATTGTCTTCTTGTCTGTAAAAGGATAAAGCAAACCAGCTTTTTAAAATCTAACCCATTGCATCTTTGCCCACCAAAGCCTTAACATAAATTCAGCGGATCAGGGTCGAAGCAGAGGGCAAGCCTGTGGCAAAAAAGGGTCAAAGCCTTCTTCTTAGCTTCAATGCTTTTCTGGCTTCAGGGTCTATTAATATCACAAAGCCACAGCCTGGAGAGAAGACTTTTTGACAAGCTACACACGCTTGTAACTGGATTATCTACCGTTAGAACTAAGCCTGTTTCAATATTTTTTCTTCACTTTTCCTCCTGGTAAAACAATAAGGTGACCAGCCTGCACTTTAGACATGCTTAGAAGGAGTTTATATGGAGTCTGGTTTGCTGCTGTATATATGTATAAGATCAGCCAAAAATAATGCCATAAAGGGAGCTATTGGGAGCTGCAACGAAGAATATGATACAGAGGGGGAGAAGGAGAAAAAAAAACGGAATACATGTACAGTTAAAGAAATGAGAGCCTCGGGGGTCTTAAAGGAGAAAATGTTTTTGGAAATTCCTCCCATGCATGCAATAACATCTGTCGGTTGGTCCAGGGCTAAAGAAAACACAGCAGACCTAAAATCACAATAGCTGCAATATTTTTAGAGCTCAGCTATGATAAACTCTAAAATTAGATTTCAGTTAATCTTAAACAACAATGCAAACTGTGGGATAATAATCTTGCGTCACTAAATAAAAAAAAAAATTCCTCGTCCTTAGCGGCCAAACAAAGACACAGGGGATCTTAAACCCATGTGAACATGCTATCCGCCCATGCATTTCTCAGTTCACATAATAGCTCGTATATTGCAAAAACAACTGGTGTGACCATGAGCCACTGAAGTTTTTTCCTAAGTTTCTGGAAACAAAGGCTAGTCTGTGAACCTCGCGAGGTCAGAGTCTCTTAAGCTCTTTGAGACAAAACAAAAACTTGTTCCTTGTTTACAGCAGTTATTTCCTCTAACTTGACCATTTGTACACTGGAGTGCTGGGTTCTTCATTGCTGTTAATTTATTACCTTACAGTCACTGTAAGAGAGTACACTCCATCACGAAAGTATACCAAATGGTATCAATTGAACTTATGTCCTTAATATTCTAGACACAATATCTTTTTGAGATTACTGCAAACTGATAAAGTGTCATAAAGTGCAAATTTCAGCTGAGATGCATAATGTTTCCACCGATTATCCTTAAGATGTTTCTACAGATTAAATAGAGCCCATTTGTGTTGAATTCAGGTGACTGGACATGATGGTAAATGGTAAATGGCATGTACTTATATAGCGCCTTTTTTTCAAGTCAGGAGACTTGACCCAGGTGCTTTACACTACAGTCATTCACCCATTCACGCACACACTGATGGTGGCAAGCTACATTGTTGCCACAGCTGCCCTGGGGCTCACTGACAGCAGCGGGGCTGCCGTACACTGGCGCCACCAGACCCTCTGACCACCATCAGTAGACAATGCAGGTGAAGTGTCTTGCCCAAGGACACAACGACAATGAAAGTCAGAGCCGGGGCTTGAACCGTCAACCCTTCGATTTCAGGGCAAACTCCAACATCCAACACCACTGTCGCCCCAAGCTGATTAGGAAAGGCAAACCGTTGCATTTCTGGATTCTCGCGAGTGATGCCCGACTTTACACGAGTGAATAAAGTGAATGAGATTGGTCGTTTATCAAGGGGGCGGGATTGTTGTGGCGGAAGGTTCGCAAGCTTTTTGGTTGTGGCCGGTGTCCCTATGGTTACTCTGCCATCAGCATTTCTCCACTGAGAAAGGAGAACCCTCCAAAGGGACAAACATGTCTGCAGTAATCCAGAAATAAGGCCTTTATTGTAGAGTGGCCAGACCTGCCAATTATGGATCAACATATTGTTGAGCAGGGGCTCTGACTACTTATGCAAATGTAATTTCTTATAATGTAAGAGCAGCGTCTATGACAGCAGCAAGGCCTCGGACACTGCGTCACCCCATGTATAATGTCTGTGTTTTTGTCTTTTCTTGGCTGGGCTGTACCAACACTGAAATGTTCCACTTTGGGATCCATTAAGTTTTTTAGAATTTGAATGTTTCTATCTTTTCAATGAATTTGCAAACTCAAAAACTTTTTTTCTTACATTGTCAACATGGGGTGCTGCGCCGTGAATTTAGAGAAAATAGATGTTTTAATACCATTTAGCATAAGGCTGTAATAAATAATGATGCCTTCCTGATGCACCATATGCTTTCTTCAGTACTTTGTCATAATAGAACCAAATAATGTCCTTTTAACCTAAGACCACTCATGGAAACTAATACAGAAGTGGATTCCTAAAAAACAAGAAAAAGTTTATTTTTTTTTTTTATTGAAATAGCAACCAACAACAACAAAAAAGAAAAAAATCAAAGGGAAAAACTGATTTCCATGTGTTATTCTCATCACAGCATATCTGCCGAGCTCAGAATATCTCAGACAAATCCCCAATTTAGAGACACTGCTCATGGGTGTCAGTTTACTCCCTGCTGCACTTGCCGTCCTTTAATATGCTGATATAACTTACCGTTGAACAACAGAGCAGTACAGGAGCACATGTGCAGCATCAATCTAACTCAGAGTGAATGTGGGAAAATGAACCGTTTGAGATGACATCATGCCAGACTATCTCAAAGCCTTGCCTGGTCAGTGTAAACAGCAGACGCCTCAAGACTGTGAGGGTATTTCCAGCCATTAATCTGTGTTTGTTTATAGAGCTTTGCTGCAACAACATGACACAGAGAAGGGGTATTCTTGAAATGTAAAAAATGACCCGTATTTAGGGTTTTGTTCAGTCTAGCGATGCATGGAATGCTTTTATTTTACTTGGAACAAGCCTGAGAAATATAAGATCGGAATTTACCAACAGTCTGTGAATAACTAAACATCATTATATGTAGATCAGTGATGGCTAAAGGCTCTGTGTCATACTATAAAAGGCAGAGACAAACTAGCTTGCTAAACATAGTGAAAAAGTATGGAAAAATACTTCTGCACTAAGACATTATTATTTAATTTGTCTTTGCCTAAATATTGTATTTATCCAGTAATTTTTTATCCATCTAAAAGTTTTTCCATCTGTACAACTTCTGGTTTTTCCAATTAGTTTTTCCATCCATCCATCAGTTTTTTTCCATCCATACATTTGTATTTCCACTCATCCAACCGTTTTCAAGAATCAAGACTCTATTGTCATTATAAAACCATGATGACATTTTATTGATACAATTGGCTCAGAATGCACACATAAAAAGCAGACGGATATTAAAAAGACTTAATAAAATTTGGGTTCTTGCTGACCCTTTCAAAAATTACAAAAACACCCTCAGCAGAAAATATTAAAAACTTTCAGGGAAAAACTGAGAAACACAAAGAGGAACAATTAGTAGCAGTTGTAGAAAGATTGAACCATCCTTGGAAGAGAAGTCTGTACATGGGAACATAGCATGTAGTAAATCGCATAACAGTTTATAAAGTTAGGCAGGGGTCTATTAGATTAACAGCAGGGATGTTTATCTGTCTATGTGATCTTGTTGTTTGTTTGAGGAGGGGTGTGTGAAGGTGAGTAAGTGTAAGAACTACAGGGGGAGTATTGCCTTTTAAGCTTTGAGAAAGAGACTGTTCTTTGTTTTGGAATTAATGTTTTTAAGCTAATTTTACTGAAGAAATCGAGACAAATAGTGCATTGTTGGGGTGGCTGGGATCTTTTGCAATGTGTCTGTCTGTTTCATGGACTCGTGCAGGGTTAAGCAAGTCCAGATATGGAGGCCACAATCCTGCAATCCCCTGTCCTCACCACCACTGCTAAGTCTATAGATGATGGTGTAGATAACGCCATATCCACCAGAACAGTGGAATGCTTCCCAAATAATAAACCCTAGATCACCAATTATATAAAGTGAGGACTAAACAAGAAAAAGTCCCTTTTGGAGACAATGAGTTATTGGGTAGAATATATAATCAACTTAAATTTAAGAGAACAAAGAGCAAGGAGGCATGCAAGAAGAAAGTGGAAAGCAAGCAATGTGTGTAGTCAGAGATGAAAAGGTCAAAGGCTTTAAGCAGAAAGAGGATCATACAGATGGGAGTCTGGACAGAGCCAAAGAACTGAACAGATTCTTCAATAGATTCTGTTCAGGAACAAACTCAGCATTCTCCTGCCCACAGTCAAACAGACCCATCCTCCTTTGTCCTAAACCCTACAATGTTTCATCTAACACCTCTGCCACGTACCTTCTTGGTTATGTGTTTGTTCTTAACCAAATCAAAAGATGGTGGTGCTCCCTTTGCCTCCCCCTTCCATCTGTAAGTCTGCAGAAGTCAGGTAAATAAAAAAAAATGGAGAACCTAAATGACAATAGGGCACCAAGACTATATGGCGCCAGCCCCAGAGTCCTGAAGGCCTGTGCAGAGTAGCTCTGTGAGATTCTGCAGCACCTCTTTAACTTTAGTCTGACCCAGGAGACAGTACCAGTGAGCAACTACCCTGCTCCGATACGAAAGAAAACTCAGCCTTTAGTGCTCAATGACTATAGACCTGAGGCCCAAATATCCCACATCATGACGGTCCTAAACAGACTCCTGTTTGCCTACCTGAGAAAGTAAGAAGGTATAACGACCCCCCTGCAGACTATTGCCATGGAGATTGGTTTGAAGATGCCGTTATATACATTCTTTGACAAACCCACTCTTATCTAGGCAGTGCATACAGCCCTATGAGGATTATATTCTTTGATTTCTTGAGTGCATTTAAAGACAATTCAGTCCAATTTACTTT